AATATAATTATAGAAAAAAAAAATTCTTGTTGACATAGTGACTTCCTGTACTCCCTCCATCTTCTTTTGATGCTCTCTGGACCAGACTATCTTAACAATGAATGTTGTGGTGGTGGTGTGCCATCAAGTTGGAAAAGACCCATTGCTGACCCTCCAGCAGTTTTTCAGAGGCAGTAATTGAAGAGGAGACTGCCCATATTTTTCCAGCAGAGCATCTGGTGGATTCGATCTGCATGACTTTGAGACCGCAGCTCAGTTTCTTACCAATAGGCTACCAGAGCTCCCACTAACAAATAGTGGGTGCAATTATCTGGGACAGAAGGATACCCTTTACCTGTTAAAAATCACAGTATCGTCTTAAAGCTTAGGGTAAATTCCATCTCCACAGAAAAATTGTCCCCAAAGTCTCCTAAATAGCTTTTTCCCCTCTATGATTACCTTTATAATTATTATAATAGTTCTCTCACTACATAAAGCAGACTTGCCTGGATCAATTTCATCATATCAGGCTTTCCACTTTACTACAAGGTATACACACAGGGCTACTATCCTCCTCTCACCCATTTCCTACAGTGTCTAGCATAGGTAGTTTAATGCTCAGTGTATTAAACTTTGTTGAGTTTATATACTAAGCAAATATTAGAATAAAGGTCATCTCATTAGTTCTATGCAAACCTTTCGACTGAAGAACTGTTGGAGATTGTTGTAAGAAGTCTCCGAATTTCTGCAGTGTTCCTTCTTTTTTCAAGTTGAAACTAATTGTGGATGCCTGACTCCGTAAAGCATAGGCTTTCTTAGATGACCGGAGCCCAGAAACCTAGCAAACACAGCAAGTAATTTTTGTTATTGTTGATGAGGAATTATTAAAAGTAACCATCAGTATGCGTAAGAGGTTTAGCATAAACAGTCAAAACTGCCAAGTTTCTCCATGTATTTTCTTCAACAAGCTGAAATTAAAAACTAAATTAAGAAAGTCAGAGTTAGATTAAAAATTCTCAGACATGGGTGATAAATGAATAATAACAGGCTAGATTTCTGGATAATTGGTAACAAAAATCTGACATCTATATCTCATTTTTAAAATTTTATAAATACAACTATAAGATGCTCAACTTGGGTAAAGAAAAATATGAACCTTTTGTTCCTTTTTCAAGGAAGAATTTCTATGCTCTGAAACAGGGAACTTCAAATTACATCTGGGTGTAGAGTTCTTCTCATTTTCATACTTCACCAAATCCTTTAAAAAAAGAGAGAGAAAGAGAGAAATCAGGCTGATCAACGAGGTTTGTGCTAATGCTTGCTATGTTTTGTCCCCTCAGCAGTACAGACAGCAACAGTGTACCTTCTAGTAAAAGAAACTGACTAGGTCTGAACAGAAGCATGGAGAAACCCACAGCTCTCTAGTACAAGAAACCGTAATCTGGCCTTAATACCTTCATTGGAACAGAGGTGAACTATGGTTTAATATCCAGAAGTTCTATGTTTGAGAACTATTAAATCACAATGATATTCTTAAAAGATAAATTGGGAGGGTTTTTTGTCCCCTCTAACAGGAATATTTACAAATAGGAAAGCAGCATTATAGCTTTACAAAGCAGCATTATAAAGCTTATTATCACATACTTGATCTCAGATTAATAATAAGATTTGTTTGTTTTATATTACCTCCTCCATTTCATTACTTTTCCTCTTCTTGGCTTTTGAAATCTTAACCGTCACTGGTGAGGTACAACCAGGGTGTTTCACGGACACTTGGTTTGGCCGTAGAGGTGTAAACTGAATCTCTAACTCAGGTTTTGGAAACCGAGTAACATGAACACTTTCTGTTGACACTTCACAAGAATCAAGGACCACAGACCCACCCTAGGACAAAATGAGAAAGGAAAAAGTCTTGTTTGGTAAAGACACCACATGAAAGGGAAGTACGCTGAGTGAAAACTGACAAGAGAAGAAAGAATGTGACCTTGTAATAACCCTGTCCAGGTTTACACACGTAAAAATGGGAGAATAGAGGAAACTAGCATTTCTCAAACCTGCATGATCCTGGAAATTACCTGGAGAATTAATAAGATTCCTAGACCCAAGCACAAACACACTCAATCAGAAATCTACATGACAGAAGTCCAAAATTTTAACAAGTTCCTTAGGACAGATTAAAGTAAGATGTGAATTTTTTGCTATTCTTCTCATGAGGGATCTATTTCCTCTCTCCTAAAATCTGGGTTGACCCTCGCTTCCATGACCATCAGGATATGGTTCTTCTAAGGCGAAATCCTAAGAAGCTTTCTAACTCTTGAGAAGGGATACTACCCCTCAAAGTACCCCAACTTGAATGCTAGCCACCACATAAGTATAGATGTGCTCCTAAAACCAACTGCCTGGTATAAGAATGAATCATTTTTGATGTTTAGTGGCCTAGTGAGTAAGGACTTGTACGGCCTAACACAAATGCAGGTTGTTCGAATCCACCAGCCACTCCTCGGGGGAAAGCCTGTCAATCTCCTCCCCTGCAACAAATAGCCTCTAAAAACTCACTGGAGGATAAGGAAGGAGTTGGTTCTGAATCGATGACATACAACAACAACATTGTTTATTTTAAAGAACCACTTCAAAGGATATTTCTGATTTAAGGTTTAAAGATTAACTCAGGAAAATAAATTAGGTGTAGACTCTTTACTCTTTGAGGAGAATGATTGTGCCTTACTACTTTTTTATCCTCTGTGTTTTGCAAGATTCCTAGTACTGTATACTCTCAATAAACAGGTTTCAATAATTTTTTAAAAGGCAATTTTAACTTCAAAACTTTAACTGATATATATATATATCTCAACTACACTGAGAATGTCTAATATTATCCAAATTGATTTACAACATCTAAGCCCATTGCAAATTCAAGAAATACTATGAGTTACTGAGATTTGGTGGCAAAATTAATTAGTAGTATGTCAATAGAAAAGGTTCAAACTAAGGTCAGATATAAGACCAAATGAGCCAACATGTATTTCCAGGAAACAAAAGGTTAATAAAGTAAGTTAAGATATAAAGAACTCATTCTCAGAAAAACTTGTATTCGTGACTCTATCATGTATACCTGACTGCATTCATGTAACCAACCACAATCATGTAGAACCAAAACTGCTGGCACTACCCACATGCCTGGTAACTGTATTCTTCTGTTTCAAAACTTTTTTCTTTGATTTCTAACACAGTATAATTTTTTTTTTCTTTCGACAGGTAAAACATCAAAGCCCTAGTGATTGGCTTCCATAAACATTACAGACAAGAAAATCCAGTGAGACCTTTTAGACATCAACTATCCAAGATAAGTGGTCAACAACAGTCACACAAATGCTAAGAGGGGCAAGGAAAAGGAATGGACAGAAATGGGCAGACAGGAGGAAATGGTGTGAGTGGTGACAAAGCCCTGGAATTACAACCAATGTCACAGAACAATCTGTGAGTGAACTGGTCAATAAGAATATAATCTGTAGCAGTTCAAATCTACCAGATGCTCTGCTGGAAAAGGAGGGGCAATCTCCTCCTATACCAGTCAGATCTGACTGGTACACACAATAAAAAAAAAAAAAGAAGAAATAAGAAAAGAATATAATCTGTTGTGTAAACTTTCACTCAAACCACAGTAAAATATTCAAAGAAAAGAATTCTTGGGGCAATTCTACTGTAATATTTAATTACCATGAGTCAAAGCAACTTGATAGCATTTAAGTACAATAATAATTTTAAAAATGCATTCTAATTGAAGGTTTCATAAAATAATTGCTCAAGGGAGCAAATAATCATTTCTATCATTAGTGATGTTTCCTACTTCTCACCTCAAGTTTGTACCAGATCTGTTATTTTTGACAGGACATTAACAACTATTTGCAGACTACTATCTCAAAAGACTTTTCTTTCCAAAAGCCTCTAGTTTTCCTTTCCTCAGAGAAAACTGTGTAGCAAGGTGCCCACATAATTTGGTTACTACCAAAGTGGACGGTGTTACCAAACACCTACCTCCACTTCATTTGTTAGAGTTTCCAAACTTGTTGGCTGAGTTTCAGTTTCAACCCCCACAGGATCTGCTGAAGTGAGTCTGGGCATGATTTCCACACTTGGTTTTTCCTAAAGTAAGGAAACAGAAAAGCAGCCAGCTGTTGTAAATTGATAACATGTCAAAGCAGTCTACACAAAAGATAGAGAAATGAAGATTTCATGGACTAAACAATCAAAACAAAGACTTAACAATCATTTAATTTTCTTCCTTCTCTCTTTGATCTCAGTCAAAAGAATTCTGAAGAATTTTAAAAGGTTAAATTTTCAAGGTGTTTTACATTTATCCTTTCATTCTAATTCTGAGTTAGTATTCACCAAAAGCTCACATCATTATTACCTCCCAGATGAGAAAATACAGATTGCGAAGTTAAATGGCATGGTTCATGTCTTCACTCAGTTGAAATTTAAAGCCTCAATTTTTGAAAACTGGACGCTTCTTGGGAATGCAACCAAACCATTAGAGTAGAAAGATGATAGAGATGATTAAACCTTTTCCTGCTGCCCACTCTCTCCTTCATTCCTTTTTCTTAGCAATAAAGTGTGTCCCACTCTTACACCCTAAGTATCTTACGAAGAAATTTTAGATTACTACTGTTAAACTTAATAAATCCCAACCCACCAAAAAAAAACCTCGACAACTCTACCTCTTATGTCACGGACCTAATACTGCCAAATATTTATGCTGTGTTAAATTTCCACTCTTAAAAAGTATATAAAAATGAAATCGTTAATTATTATCTAATTGCGCACAAGAAATGAAAACTGAGGATACTCCTAGTCCTAGGTCTGTCATCACAAATCAATCATATTGAGCAACAGTAAAAATTCTTTTTTTTTTTTTTTGATGGTGGATTAGTTGCATTTTATTGGTTTTTTAAAAATTCTTAATAATTTATAGTCAATCTTAAAACATTTTCCAAAACTTATTTATCTCTGATCCACTGTAATCTCCCTTTATTTGTTGGGGGTTAATTAATTAAACAATCTTGAAAAATATCTATGTCCAATAGAAAAAGCACAGAGAGAGAGTTGAGGGCCCACTCACCATCCGAGAAGGCTCTGCCGTGACCTTTCGTAACTGCTCGATTTCACTGTCTTTCTGCACATTACTAGTGATCAGCGCTTTCAGCTGAATTTCTAAGTCTGCAACCAGTTGATCTCGTTCTTCTCGCCACTTTTGAAGGTGAGTTTCTTTCTCTGTGAGCTGTGCTGTAAGTTTTTCCTAAACACATGAGAAAACAGGAAAGGAAACTTTGAAGCACTGCAATCTTCAATGGCTTAATTTTATTATCAATAATACCATAACAAATTGCATAATCAAGACTTCATGACCTTTCTCTTTATGCAGCAGAAGACCTAATGGATTTTTATATATTAAATGATCCCAGTGAGTATCAGTTCCTTTTATATTCCATTCATAAAATCAATTTACTGGTCACTACTTTCCATACAGGAGCTGTGAGGGCATAGCCTGTAGGAGGTTGCAACTTAAAGAGTGTGCTTCTTCGGGAGTTCGAATCTACCAGTTGCTCAGCAGGAGAGCATAGGGCCATCTCCTCCTACGTGATTTACCTTGGAAAATCTGTTGGAAAGCAGCTATGAGTCAGTTCTGACTCAACAGCAGTGAGCTTGAATTTTTACTTTCTATAAACATAGGTAAGTTTTCCTCCCAGTATAATCCCTCTGGAAATAACTAGTTAAGATGCAAGTCTGCTTATGGGGTAAAATGCAGACATAAACAGAGAGAAGATTAAAGCTGTCAATGATTTATCTTGGATAAATTTGGTAGTCACCAAATTTTGTAACTTGCCATTTAAAAGACTAAAACCACAAGCAACCATGGAGACAGCACAAAGAATCCTAGAGAAAAAGTTAACTAAACAACTAACTAGGTGAAATACATTAAAGTTGTCGTGCAATTGTTACAAACCACTTCATTCTGTTGTTTTAAACAGCGCTCCCGGTCTTCAGCATATTTTTTCATCTCTTTGTTTCGTAGGCTCTCAGCTTCTTTTGCTTGGGTGATAAGCATCAATTTTTCACTTAACCATTTTTTTCTATCAGTTGTATATTTCTGTTCTGATTCCTGTATGTATAAGTAGAATCAGTGACTATCATATCACTCAAAACCAAACAAAACATCAAAACCTCACCAAAACAAATGACAAACCACCTATTTTTTTCAACATTTTCATTAAGCCATTACATCTTTACCTTTTACAAAGTTATTTTTATTTAAATGATGATCAGAGTTTATTCTAGATTACAAAAGAGAATCACAAGATGGTTTGTTTTCCTAAACAGAACTTTCTCTAGTGACTTATTTGGGTAAAAAGTATATTTAAGGACTTAATTTTATGCTCAGCAAAACCTCACTGCTGCCAAGTCAGAATCCACTCATAGCTGACCCTTCAGCAGGTTTGCCAAGGCTATAAATTCATGAGAGGGGATTGTCCATCTTTCTCCGTCAGAGTTTCTGGGGGATTTGAACTGCCAGAGAAGTGCAGCTTTTGGGTTAGCAGTGCAACTCTCCACTGATCATGTCACCAAACCTTCCGTTTTAAAAACTGTTTTGTACACACACAGGGAGTTCTGAAGGTAGAGTGGTAAGAAGCTGGGCTACAATCCCAAAGGCACACGGTTTGATTCTAGTAGCTGCTTTGTGGGAGAAGGATTTACTTCCTCTTATAAAATCACTGCACTAGATGACAGTCCCTCTGAATTACAAGATTTTTAAGATTATAATCAAAGATGTATGACTGTGTCACCTTATAATAACAACAATAAACACATTAACCCTTCTTCATATGAATACCCTCAATATGGTTCGTTTATTTTGGGTTTTCAAAATGAAAACGGTAAATTCTGGAGTATATAATGGTCAGAAAACAAAGTAATGCATTTTATTTGTATTTATTTTCAGTATTAGATTATAGTCATTTGGAAATACTTAAGATGCAGTCAAATTTCTAAACTATTATGTTTTCCTTGAGTTCAAAACCATATTTATGTATGAAAAGTATTTTCCCCATGCAGTACACTCTACACATATTTATGTTAGAGGTAAACATTGGAAGGAAGGGAGAAGAAAATTAAAAACACAAAATAGAAAACCTTTTTCTATAGTATGACTTCCTAGATACTATAGTATGGCTTCCTAGCAGGAGAAGGATAGGCAGTCTCCCCCAAGCAATTAACATCCTCTGAAAACCTGCTGGAGGGTCAGCTGTGGTCAGTTCTGACTGCACCATACACAACAGCAACAGCATGGCTTCCTTTACATGTTGGCTTTCATATATACAACTCTTTATTATTTTTCCAATGTAATTTCAACAACAGTATTAATAGAAATAAAAATTATCCTCCTAGTAGGGTTCTCCTTATCCTCATCTACTAATTATGTTTAAGGAATATAAAAATAAGTACAAAGACATAAGGAATGGTGGCTTTAAGAATGAAATACACAAAATATAAAATTAAGCATCCATTTCCTGCACCTTCTTCAGCAGTCATTTCTCCATGTCATTTCAAGTGGACTTTAGCATTTCTCAGCAATTACTAATCTTTATTCATTATATAAAAACATTTTCTGAATATATTTCTTACTAGAAATATATAGAATATGTCTGTCCCCATACCTGTAACTCATCTTGAAGTTTACTAAGCTGTTTACTAAGTGCACCTGTGTTTTCTTCAAATTCTTTATTTGAACTTTGATTACTTTTGGTTTCCAGATCCTGGCATTTTTCCTTCCATTTCTCCAATTCTGAATGAAAACACAAAATAAATTGCAAAAGCACATACAAAAAGACTGATCATGTAGAAATAAACATATGGGATACAGGTTACAGACAAGAATCAATATATTATCGTAAAAAAAAAAGAAGAAACATAAACCAAGATGAAACAAAGACTACTCCAACAGTTAAACTTAAAAGTTCTTACCAAATTGATTGCCGTCAAGTGGAGCACAACTCACAGAGACCCTAGGAACAAAAGGCCTGAAGCCTTTCTCTAACTATTGTCATTTATCAACTTTCATAGAGTTTCCAGAGGCATGATGTTTAGGAAGTGGATGACACTCCTGCTTCTAATATTTTTTACTGAAGAATAAACTGCAAAGTTCTCTTAAGAACTCTGCTAACTGTGTTCAGAATAGACAGTACAAACTCCTACCATGATAACCGTGTAAATGTCCTGCCATATATAAAATAGAAAAGACAATGGCCCAATTCTAAATTTCTTGCCCTTTCTACAAAAATGATAGCATTGCATTATCAATAGTAAGTAGGTATTAAATTTTGTCACATCCTATTAAAAAACTCTGATGGCATTCTTAAGAAAATGGATCAGAGTATTTTCTGATGTAAATACATCATACAATGATGTTAAGAACTAAAAGGAAACTCATCTGCAACACTATTTGCAAAGAATACCATAAATTTTTATCCACCTATCATTAAAGTCTTGAATCCTTCTTTATCAGATATAACTCTATGATGGAAAATGACAAATGACATGGAATTCCAAAACACATGAAATACTTTTCCTTTAGGAATTATTATAAGTATCACAGCTCCTTTTAAAAATGTAAAATAAATCTAAGAAAAAGAAATCAACTACTTGGAGATATTTAAACATTCCTCTTTTACCTTTGGCTAACATTTCCATTTCTGCTAATTTAGCATCCAGTGCTTGATCTTGTTCTATCTGTGTTTGTTCTTGCTCTTCCAATGTCATCCTCATATCTGCAATGATTTTCTCCTTGACACCTAGATCTAAAAATTTAGGAAGAACATGTTGGCAAATAATAGCAACGATATCCAATTTTTCTTGAGTTCTTCTAGTTCAAGCATAAACATTTGCTTAAATGCTACTGAACAATAGGTACTTTATAAATAAAAAATCTATAAAGAGGTGAGAGTTATAGAAAAATAAAACCTCATTTCATGCTTTCTATTCTGTTTGAAAGGAGCTGTGTTGGTCAAAACTATTCAACTTTGCTATTATATATAGAGAACACCACAGCACAGCTCTAGTCTGTGAGGAGTTGTGCTGTTAACTTGAAGGTTGTATCTCTCAGGCAATCTGAACCTACCAGTAGCTCCAAGGGAAAAAAATTGAGCAATTTCCTTCTATGCAATTTATAGCCTCCTAAAAATCTGCTGTATGGTCAGCTATGAGTCTGTTTCAACTTAACAGCAATAAGCTCGAGTGAGATTACAACATGAAAGTTGCCACAGATGAAGGCAGGGATTCCATGTTGCTAGCTGTATGCCAATAAAACGTGACATAAATTGGCAGTAATATGAATTTGGTTCATTGACATGAGCTAAATCCTGCACTGAACAACAGAAACAAGAACCGAGAGGACAGAGAAGACTAAAATAGTATAGTCCAAAAGAGATACTCTACGAAGCTAATACACCTCTAAAACCAAAGAAAATACAAGGGGAAAAAAAGAAATTAATATTCTTTACAAATAAAACCATAAAAATCCTCAACAGACTACTAGGGAAATGAATTCAGCACCAAAAATTTTGCACAATACACCATGACTGACCAACAGGAATTCATCACAGGAGTGCAAGGTTGGCTAAACAGGAAATCAATGTAATATACTATATTAATAAAAGATAAAACCCACATGACCATCTCAGTATTTTGATTCCAAGCATTCTAGTAAAGTTCAATATAATTTCACACTTAAACACCAAATAAATGAGATAAAATATCTTAATTTGATATGTTATCTACCAAAAAAATCATCATCATTAAACTATGGTTAAAGAATAAAAACTTCTTCAACATTGTTTAAAGGTTCAGGGCAATTAGATATGCATTCTTAAAAAGAAATAGAGGCATCAAGACTGCAAGGAAAGAATTAACTCCCTAGGGGATGACACCATCTGAGCTCCCTATAGTAACAGCAGGTAACTACAACAGAGTGTCACTTTTTTCTCCTTGGAGCAACTAGGGATTTGAATCACAGGCCTTTTGGTTAGAAACTGAGTATTTTAGCTACTAAATTAAAAGAGCTATGAAAAGCAGTCTATATTTAACAGATATTCTTTAGTCAGAGAAAAATCTTCAGAGGTAGAGATGTAGGTTTTTTTGTTTGTTGAGAAATGTTTCACATGTTGAAATCATGGGACTGAATGAACTCTCAAGGCAGAAAACAAACACAAAAAACCCCAGATCCCAATTTAATCATGAAAGCTGCTAGCAGAGAGAAAGAAGTGACTTGTACAGGACAGTGAGGCACAGGAGTTTCAAAATGGAAGTCTGAAGAAAGAAGTGGCAGTGAGCCCACGTCACATGTTATACATTTGTCCAAGAAAGATAAAACCAATATATGATAGACTGTAGAGTACCCTGGTTCATCGTTTTTTAGATGAACCAATAATGACAAAGGAGCCATAGGAAAGGGATTTGAAAGGGGTCTGGAAATAGGAGACACTGCGTGACAAGAGTGGAGGCAGAAGAGGAGAAACAAACTGGAACAAAGAAATAGTTCCTCACATCTGTTTACTAAAGAGTAAGTGCCCTTCCAAGTCAGTCCTAAAAAAGTCCAAGTCTCATAAACATAACTCTTTTGTTAATCAAGTGGACATAGCATGGATTAGTGAAGAGATTCTGGGACTTAACTGTGAAGCAGATTTGGGCTCAAGGCCCAGATGCATTACTCAGACTACTGAGAAAGGGTACATGATCTCTATTTTTTAAAAATACATATTTTAAAGATCTTGTATTTGAAATAGATTCTTTACACAAAATCTACTGTATAGAAATCAATTCCAGCTATTGTAACCTTTGACTTTATTTTTCACGAAATACTGGTCATTACCAAGAAATCAAGGTTGCTTTGACTTAATATATTTTATTGTCTTTTCAAGAATAAATTTTAACTTGACAAAGTATTCACTGCAACTATACTTTTCACTTTTGACAAAGTTAGATCTTACGGTGCATTCACATAAAAAAGGAAAAAAATTAACGAATTGTTATTATAACCACCTATTTTTAATTACTTTAGTATTGGAAGGTTTATTTCTGACCTTTGCACACTTTTTCATACTGTTGTACAGCATCCTGCATTTTCTGATTGCTTAACTGCTCCTAAAAAAGGAAAGAGTATGCATTAAACAACATTAATAATGGCAGTTGAAAACAGGATTCAGTAGAAACTTTTAAAACTGTCTCCTATATAGGTGGTTACTAATTTCAAGTTTCCAAGACTATGGCACCTTGAAGAAAAAAGGAAAGGTAAGAAACAAAACTGGACTTTTAACTCCAAACTGGTGCCCATTTTCATTGTCATAATGTCTTACAAGCTGTAAAAAAGTAGAACCAAAACAAGAGGAAGGTTTACTACGGATTTAGAGTCCCCTGGTGCACAAACAGTTCAGAACTTGGCTGCCGATGGCCAAGGGGGTGTGCTGGAAGAAAGGACTGGGAATTGACTTCCAAAAAGTACGCCATAAAACAGTATGCAGCACCAATAGCTCTACTCTGATATCCACAGAGTCTTCCAGCATCAGAATCAACTCTGGCATCCAGTTTAGGTTTTGTGTTTCCTATGACTAGGATGATAGGAAGAGAATTGATGTCGTTGAGCTGTGGTGTTGGAGAAGAGTATTGAATATGCCATGGACTGTCAGGAGAACAACAGGTTCGTCCTGGAGAGGGTGAGACCAGGTTGCTCCTTGGAGGCAAGGATTCTGAAGCTTGTCTGACATACTTTGGACATACTGCACAGCAGAACCAGTCCTTGGAGAGGGACATCATGCTTGGGAGGGTGGAGGGACAGCACAAGAGAGGAAGACCCTCAATGAGATAGACTAATTCAGTGACTGGGGAATTGGGGATAGGTGTGTCAGAGACAACAAGACTGGCACAGGATAGGGCAGGGCTTAGGGCTGTTGTTCACAGGGTCACTATGAGTCACAGGTGACCTGATGGCACGTAACAATAACAACAACAACAATGTAGTTCATAGGGATTTCTGCTGTTAATCTAAAAGCTGTTCCTCTCTGGTAGCTCGAATCTACTTGTAGCACCACAGACGAAAGATGGACAACCTCCTCCCATGACATTAACTGCCTCTGAATATCCACTGAAGGGTCAGCTATGAGTCAGTTCTGGCTGAATGGCGAGGAATGAGTATCAGTAAACTTGGATTACGTTCATGTTGTTGAGTCAGAGGTGACTCATAGCTTGACCCTCCAATGTATTTTTGGAGGCAGTAAATCGTGCAGGAGATTTCCTATCCTTCCCCCAGGGAGCAGTTGGTGGACTTGAAGTGTGTGCCTTTGGGACTACAGCACAGCTTCTTACCGCTAAGCCACCAAAGTTCCTATTATAAGGCTTGTCTTAATGTTTTCATCTTACATAACTAAGCAACTAAATCATCTTATACAACAGAGATATATGAATAATATATAACCAGAAATTAACATTATTTCAGTAGTATTAGCTACTCTAGACTTTATTTGGATTTCATCAGGTTTTCCACTGATTTTATTGTTTTGTTCCAAGATCTTATCTAAGACATAATATTATAGTCATCATGTCTCCTTGATCTTCTTGTCTTTTTTGAAGAGTACTGGTCAAATACTTTGTAGTATACCTTAAATTTGGGTTTGTCTGACGTTTTCTTGTGATTTGATTGAGTGGATTTTGGAGAAGACCATCACAAAGAGGATGTGCCCTATTCATATGACCCATTTCTGGTAACATTATTCCTAAGCCCCTGGTTATGGTGTCGACCAGGTTTCTCCACTACAGAGTTACTAGAAGTTAGGCATTGCAGACATATTTAGCTTTAAGTAATTTCCTTTGAGATTCCAGGAAAGTTCAAAATATAATTTTTATAAGGAATATCTACACTCGATTCTAAAAAATCAAATCCAAACCACTAACATCAATCCTGCTAACAGCTATGCTACAGCAGAGAGTAGAACCCTGTCAACTAGTAGGCTAGTTGTATTCTTTATGAAAACACCACTGGCCCCATCTTTTTCATATGCGAGGTGGCGTCAAATCAATAGCAGTTAGAATAAATTAGAGCTTATTCATTACACGAGGGTTCCTCAGCTAATGAGACACAAAAGCATACCAACAGACTTTTACTTAAACCATTTTAAAAACAAAACCACTACCTTTAGTTGTTGAATGGTTCGCTGTTTCAGATCTAGTTCCTTTGAACACTGGTTTTTCTTTTTCTCTAGTTCGGTAATTTTTATCCTCAGTGATTTCTCCTCATCACGCATTACACACACCTATTAAGTAGTATTAATAAAACAGCTTAAATATTTTTAAAGAAAAATCACTTTTTTGGTCTAAAATGCAAAGGTACTTCTTCAAAGATCACTTCAGGTAGAAATAGTTCCCTACGACTGTTAGCTTCAAAGATTTCATACTAAACAAAGTACAACCTCTTCAGTCATGGTACATACTTGTCCAGGTGAAAGTACAGGATCCCTGTCCACTAGAAACAGCAAGTATTTTTAAAACAAGATATATTTTTAAATTCCTTTAAAATGTCTTATGTATCCAGTCAACAATGCACATGAAAAAGCCATTTTATTCTGATATTAAGAATTTCAACTTCTATTAAGTGTTTTTTGTAAAAAGAATCAACATAATACGTGCATGTAATAGGAAAGTCTTTATCATGACAAAATGATGATTCTCGGGGTAGGGGGGTAATGACTCGAATGTCCCAGGTTTATCAAGTAACACAACTCAGTCATATAAAACATACTTTAAAAGCTATTATCTTTTCTCATCATTTCAAGAAAATTTTGAAGCTGACAAGTAAACTGTTAAAACTTGGCCTTTGGGGGACAAATTCTCCATCACATTAAATCTGCTCCACTACACTATAAACACTGTACCTCCTTCTGCACTTGCTCGATCTGTTTTTTGGCATCACTGAGTTTCTCCTTTAGCTCAGCATAATCTTCCTCTTTTCTCTGAAGATCAGCTTTGAGGTTCTGGTTAAGGGCAGAGCTTGCAGAGAGCTCTTCTTTCAGCCTAAAAGATAGAAATCATTTATTTATCAATGCACCATTCACCAGCTAGGATCACATATACAATCAACCTTACAACAGTCTTTAAAAAATGACATCTTTTCTTTAATTCTGAATGTCTAAACTGACTAAATACATCCTTCAGAGAGGATTTCATGTGCAAATATTGGTTTAGGATTTCTTTACTCAAAGACTTTTATATAAAACAAAGCATAGGGAGCTCTGGGGGCCTAGTGACAGGAAGCGGCACTGCAACCCCAGAGGTGCACAGTTCAAATCCACCAGATGCTCTGCTGGAGAAGGAGGGACAGTCTCCTCCTGTACCAGTCAGATCCAATTTGTTGGTACACACACAAAAATAATAAATTTTTTTAAAAAAAAATTTAAATAAAAAAACACCCAAAAGAACCAAAGTACAACCTTTTCACTTGTGGTACATACGGTATCAGATGAAGTTATGCCCATCTCATTGCTTAAAATTGACATAGTGAAGAGCATAAAAAAGGTCACTGAATTGTACACACAGAAATTGATGAAAAGGATTTTCTTTGACTGTATATTTACACACATAAAGTAAAAGGAATGTTTTGCTTATTTTAATAACATTTAGCTTACTTTTTTTAGCATACCTTTCCATTTCTCGCTTGATGGTTTCGTTTTCTTCTTCCTTTTGTTGAACTGAGTGCTTCTTATCTTGCAAATAATTTGTTAGTTGCACAATTTCTTCTTTCAGTTTCATTTCTCTTTCCTTTAATTCATTGGTGTTTGTGACAGAATCCTGAAGATTTGATTGCAATTCTTCCAGATTTTTTTCCAGCTTAAGTATAACAGACTCCTTTTCCAAAATTTCTTGTTCTAACTTGGCTGTGCATTTGTCTTTGTGTGTCTCTAGGATTGTTTCCAATTCCTGTATTTTTGTCTTATAACAAGCAATATCTTGTGAAAGCTCTGAAAGTGCTCTCTCACCTTCAACTGAGCGCTGGACTTCAGCATTAAGAGCATCAGTCTTTCCTTGTAGCTCTTCTCTCAACTGCTGGATAAGACTGTCTTTTTCTTTTAAGAGTTCATCTTGGTTTTCATTCTCCCTCTCTCTGGTTTTCAGTCTGTCATTTTCATCTGTATAAGTTTGTATGTCTGCTTGTAATTTTTCAACTTTTTGTTCCAGTTCCTGGATATGATGACTCTTTTGGGAGGAGGCTTTCACGATTTCCTTACATTCTTCCCAAATGGCTTCAATACTAGAGTGGAAAGAACCTTCCCGACTGAGTTCTTTAACACAAGATTCTTTAACCTGATTACTTGCCAAATAATCACTACTTAGACGGTGTAACTGGGTAGTCAACAAATTATCCTTGTCGGACTCACAGGGCAGACCCCTGAGAGAGAGCAAGTCTATGCTGGAGATATGAGAACCTGAATCAAGCATACGTAGTTCATCGATTTTTGTTTGCATTAATTTTATCTGTGCTACATTACTTGTAATGTTTTTCCTAGCAGATTCTATCTCCTTTGACAATGTCGTGATTTTTTCTTCCTGTTCTTGATTAATACATTTCTGCACATGTAATTCAGAAAGTGCATTTTCATATTTTGATTGAACTTGCTGGAACTCTACATTCAAAGTAAAAATCTTTTTCTCTGCAAAAGAAAGTTCTTGCTGCACAGTAACAATCTGATTATTTAAGTCTGATTTTTCTTTCTTTTCATTCATAAGCTCATTCTCAATACTGAGTAAATGTGTCTTCAGCTCTTCATAACTTTTCTGCAAAATGTCTTTTTCTTTAGAAATAGATTCTTGCGTATCTTCACTTTGCTTGTGGTCTTCAGAGATAGAATGGATCATATATTCAGGACCTTGAAAAAGAAGAAAATTGTTATTAATCTGATAAACCTTAAAACTAGAATATAATGTGTCAACATTCAAACATATGAAAGAATAAATGTAATTAAAACCAGAAATATGTTGTTTAAAAAAAAAGACTGCAAAATATATATAGGCTGGTTATGTAAAATTTATAATTTCATAAATTAATATTTAGGGAGCTCTGGTGGTCTAGTGGTAAGGAGCTTCACTACCAACCCAAAGTTATGCAGTTCAAATCCACAAGTTGCTCTGTAGGAGAAAGATGGACATTCCCCTCCTGTGTGATTAATGGCCTCTGAAAACCCACTGGATGGTCAGCTATGAGTCAGTTCTGACTTGATGGTCACAAAAAAACAGTAAATTACTATTAATATGCAAGTACATTATATAAGTAGTATTACCACCTATTTCTACTTTCTTATATTATTCAATGTACTTGAAATTTTATACAGAAGTATTTATTATCATTTTGAGGCAAAGAATAGGAGACTATATCATGAAATAACATAAAGTGATATCCCATACCATCAAACTTACTTTTAAAAGTCTAGCTATATTGTGGATTCTACTAAACTAATGATATACAATCTGATAACTTGAATTTCCATAGCTAAAATTAAGAAATAAAAAGCTGTTAAAATTCTGAAAAGTCATATAATGTAGCAGTTAAAATTATGAACTCTGAAATCATACTGTCTAAATTCAAAGGATGTCTGTACCCTTCACTAGTTATATAACAAGTAATAAACTGTCTTAATCTTCTCTTTCTTTGGACTGCATCTCCAAAGCAAAATAAAAATAGTATTTTATCAGCTTTCTCAAAGTTGTGAAGATCAAGATAGCAAACTAACACCACTCTACCTGAGCTAGCTATTATAGGAACCTGAGAAATAGCAGAGAAGAGTTAACTAAAATGAATAAATGTCTTTCAGGCTGAATGTCTAAATTTTTACAGTAAGAATACTTCTATTTGCCCTATTCACTTATTTTATAGTAAATGGCTCAACTGAATTAAACACATGGCATATAATTAAAACTTTGATTATAGTTAATATTATTGTTAATATAATATTGTTAACATTTTATATATATAGTTGTTGATTGCCTTTGAGTTGAGCACAACTCATAGCAACTCCAGGAAAATACAATACCACCCCCCACCCCAAGTCCACTCCCTAAGTTTGGTTTTTAAGATTGGATGATTCATTGTAGAACAATTCTCACTCCTTTTAATACACACAAAAAACCTGCTTCTACCTATATGTTTCTGTATACTTTCAGATACCATAAAGTTTGATGACTGTCTCCCTAAGAAAGTAAGTACTTCGAACCTTGTAAGAATCTGACTCTTCTGAGATTTGTTTTTGGTTTCAGTCAAGGTTTCCATTTATATGTGAATTTTCTATATAACACTGTTTTGTAGAACTGACTTCCTATGTTTCTCGAGCCCTATTCTCCCACACTGACCATTTCTCTATTCATCTGACCTATATCTTTATTTGGTAACCTGATTGAAATGAGTAGGGATCAAATGTCTTTGCTTCAAAGTCCTATCTACAATAAAAAGCATGTTTTTTAGTGCTTGATCCTGATGTTCGGAGACCCTATGTGACAACATACAACCGTCATCTAGGCTATACTCTTCAGAGATGGAAATCACTAGGTTTTTCTCCCATGAAGCTGCTGGGAGGGTTTAAACTACCAAATGAAGTAGTTAACTGAGTACTTAAAAAGTATAAAGGATTACTACCTAGAAAAGTTGAAGCTTAGCTTGAAATTTTCCTCTTTAAAGAAACATGTTAGGTCTGTCTGTCTCATGAATTTCCCAAGAGTCTTACATAGCCTGCTAACACAAAGGTCAGCAGTTTGAATCCATCAGCAATTCATTTACGGTAAGGAAGTGGAAACCTTCTGGAGAGTCGCCAGAAGTCAGAGTTAACTTAAGGGCATGGATGGGTTTTAGTAGCGAATATGGAAAACTTTATTTTCCAAATACAATCTACAACTTTTCCTTCACCCAAACATCTAAATGGTCTTGTTGTTAGGCGTCTTCAACTTGACTACAATTCACAGCGACTCTGTCAGTAACAGAGCTGACCGTGGCCCTACCCCGCACCATGAGCACCATCCCCGAGAGGGTCAAGCACATGTTATAGTGTCAATCCATCTCGTTGAGAGGCTTCCTCTTTTTCTCTAATTCCTCACCTTTCCAAAGGCAGACTTAGTTCATTTGGTATTCCGTGGGGTATTCAGTCAGTACCCTTCTCCAACATCACTACTTAGAAGCACTGATTTGTCTTTCATTATTCATTGCCTAATTTTCAGATGTACAGGAAGCAACTGAAAATACCACCATGGCTTGGATCAAGCACACCTTAGTCTTCAAATTAAAATGATTTGCCCTTCTTTACAAAACTTCAAGGATTTTTTTAAAAAATAATCTTTTTCATCATATATGTAGGTTGTCTCCAAGCATCTTACCAAAACAACAGTTCCCAGATGATCTTTTTATTCATGATTGGGTTCTCTTTAGCCAAGCTGTATAAATTACTTGTTCCTGCTTACTACTGACCTAGGTACCTACTGATCTTACATTCACAACCACTCTATGGCAAAGACCAAGCTGGAAGAAAGGACTCAGTCTATTCTAACTCACAGAGATCATACAGGACAGCATAAAACTGCCCCACAGTTCACAAAGCTGTAATATAACAGAAGCATAGTATCTTTTTTCCATTATCAGCTGAGCTCTCTAATCACTGTGCAACTAAACTCTTTGAAAGTAAGGAACAAACTCCCTCTCATTAAGTGGGTTCCAACTCACAGTGAAACAGCCAATGGATTTTTCAAGCCTGTCAATTCTTATGGGAGTACACTATGCATCTTTCTCCCCTGGAGTGGCTCATGGATTTAAACTGCTGACCTTTCTGTGAACAGTCTGATAGATTATATCCTAGCCTATCCTATCTTAAGTATACTATACTATACTATACTATACTATACTATACTATACTATACTATACTATACTAGCAGGTCTCTTTCCAAAGCAAAGAATAGTGCTATGAAAATCAAAGCAAGGTTATATCTCATTAGAAAATAGAAAGCTAACTCTTTGTAGTGAAGTTTCTGGGTTGTCAAATAGTCAATGTCTTTGCTAATCAAAGTATTATAGGTTCTTATCTACTTAAAGGTGGCTAGGAAGAAAGGCCCAATCATATACACCTGAAAGATCAGTCACTGACAATGCAATGTATCTTTTCTCTCTAAAGTAGGTAAAAAAGTTGTCATATTACTTCAAATAAATAGGTAGAGTATAAACTACAGATACATCTTACATTTTTTTAACAGATGTGGTAAATCATAACAACTCAAGGATAATTATCTTTAGTACCATTTAACTCAAAGTTTTACCATCAAGTAGCCTTTGGTCAAATGAACAAGCATTTTTTTTTAAAAAAAAAAACCAACAGAGAGACTTTAGCAGAAATAGATGCAATTACTCCACAATATAATGAGTGTTACACCTTAATTATTATAAGCATATAAATGAAAGAAGCAAGTGATAAAGCACAATACCTAAAAACACTTATTAAAATAAAAGATATCTTTAAATGCATCTATCTTCTCACAGGTTTTAACATATCAGCATAAAAGTAGTGGCCTTTAGATTTTCATTTTTTTTCCTTAGGCAGGCAAGTGTCCTTTTTGAGATTTTTCTCTTTACTAGTTCAGTAGCTAACTATCTTAGAGGCCTCCTGCTGGCAGGTGCAGTATTACCTTTCTTGGCTGATGGTTCATCTTCGTCACCTTCATTTGATCTTTTCCTTCTTAATGAGGTCTTAATTTTGTTGTCCTTAGGAATTTCAACCGTTTCATTACAATCTAATTCATTATTCATTATTAAAGATGTATCAGTCTTATCCTAAAGTAAAAGAAAGTAATTTATAAAGAATAAACTATTATCAATACAAAATTTACCTATATTTCAACTAAAAAACTCAAACTTCCTTCCATCACATCAGTTCTGACTCATAGCAACCTTCCAGAGGATTTCTGAGGAGGAAAGTGCCCATCTTTGTCCCACCAGGCCACTGGGAGATCCAAACCACTGGAGACGAGCAGTTTTCCTCCTAGTAGCACAGCCTGCTATGGACTATCCCATCACAACAATCTTTTAATAGTTTATTATAATTTTCTTTAAAAGACATTTACGAAGCTATTTCTTAAGTCTCAGGGAGGTCTGGGGCCTAATGGTAAAAATCTATGCTGTAATCCTAAAGACACACAGTTCAAATCAACCAGCTGCTCTGCAGAGGAACTGGCAATCTCCTCCCTTGCAACGCTCTACCTCTGACACTCAATGAAAAGTGAGTTGACAGCACACAATAACAACAACCCCAAAATAACAGATGACTTAGGCAAATCAAGGTAAAAAGAACTTTGTACACTTATCATGAGACAAAAAATTGTTGCAACAATCCAGTTAACTCTAGTTTCACACCAATACCTAAAAACTTAAGTCATCCCTCTATTTTCCAAGATGTTCAATGGAGACTGAGAATTTAGAGATAACTATAAATTCCCAAAAACACTTACCCACAAATCACATTCAAAATATGTTTTGAAAAACATGAAAACACTAAATCCATTGTTAGACACAATTAGACATTTGTACTTAAAACCTTGAATTCCCATACTAGATACCCCATAACCAAAGTCTCTTAAAAACAACCACTATCCTTCACAGCTTCTAAAAATATAGTTTTGTTTCTGGTATTTTCAAAGACACACAGTCTACACAGTGCTTTAACAATGAGCTAAGTCAGACATTTAAATGCTTTTAAGTTAAAGCATATGATTTCCTAAAAGGATAGTCCTCACAACTGAGTCAATAAACAATATTTAAATATTGAGTTTGACAGCGGTTATCATTTTACTTTGATACCTACTTAATCAACATCCAGGAATTTTCTGGTAAAGATAATACTTAATGAGTAAAACCAGGCAAAATTGTCAAGATGTATTGTATTGAGCAAATCTGCTGCTAAAGGCATTTTTAAAGTAGTGAAGAGCAGGGATGTCAGTTTCAACACTAAGGCACACGTGAGTCAAATCAGACTTTCAGCTGCTTCATATTCATGTGAAGGGTGGACAATGAAAAAGGAAGATGTAAGAATCAGTGACTTGGGATGGTAACACTGGTGAAGAATATTCAATGTTCCACAGAGTACCAAAAGAAGAAACAGACTGATCTTGGAAGGAGTGTAGCCAGAATGCTCCTTCGAAGCAAGGAAAATGCTTTCAAAGCAAGACTCTTTCCACATGTTGGCTATGCCGTGAGGAACAGAGTTAGTCCTTGGAAAAAGATATCATGCTGGGAAAAGTAAAGGCAGAGTAAAGAGAGCCTAACAGGATGGATCAACACAGAGACTGCAGCAATGGCTGCAATGTGCTTGAGCACCTCAGAGACTATGGGACTGGCACCAGGTAGCAGGGTTTTGTTCAATCATCATACAGACGGTTGCTATGCCTTAGATTCAATTTGATGGCAACTAACAACAATTAAGACCAAAAAATACATACATTTTAAAGTATTATTACCTCATTAGATTTCCCAACCTCATGAGCCAATGAACTTAAACTATTTTCTGATTCTGAAAAATAGAAAACAGATTAACAATGAAAATAAGCATCTATAAACACATCATAGAATAACTATGAAATATAAGTTGTTACAACAGACACTTAAATGATGTTGTCTTGAGGAAATTTTTACCAGAACTCAATGCACACAGCATCCAACTGCTAATTCTAACCACCAGGGTATCATATTGGGGAAGAGGAAATCTTTCATATAGCCACTCAAGATATTATATAGTAAAAAACTACCAGTATGTCTCAACAAACGAATGGATAGAGAAGCTGTGGTATATTCACACAATGGAATATTATGCTGCATTGAAAAACAAGGAACTCATTCAATATTATTCAAAATGGATGAGCCTGGAGGACATTATGCTGAGTGAAATATCTCAGTCGCAAAAGGACAAATATTGCATGGTGCCACTGCTGTAAAATGGGACTGATATCAGGGTGGAGGTAAGACTGAGAAAAACTAGATAAATTGTGTATACGGCACTGAAACAGATGAGGGACTGAATAATTTAAAAGCGACGTATGATAGGGTATTATGGTTATCACAAGAGTCCACAATTAAGGTTGCATAGTGGAATGTACTTGGGGCGGTGGGAGGATTGTGTACCAGGGAAGGAGTGTTTCTTTTACTTTTGAAAGAGAGGAGCGAACTGGGGGGTGGGGGGAGAGAGAAGGGCTGGGTGGGTAGAGAAGTGCAGCAATGAATGAATGGAAATCCAAATTCTCTGTAAATGTTCATTAAAATTATTAGAAAAACACACACACAAAAAAAACAAACAACTACCAGTATGTCAGAGACTAGTAGCCAGTGTCTTTCTGATCCACCATCATAAAGACAGAGAAAATGTTTACTTGTTTACCTCCCCCTCCCCCAACCATTCTGTTCCACACAGAAAAGGGCAGATTATGAACTATTACTAGAAATAACTTGATAACAAGAAATCGCAATTTCATATGCTGACACACAAACACATATAACATAAAGATCCTAAGTTATTGCTTCATTTTCTGGTAAAGATAATGCTTAGAGTAAAAACTAAAAATATTGAATAAGTTAAGGGAGAGTTATAGAAGTACTAAAATTTTAAATATTAGAAGAGTGTCACATTCATTGTGATAAATAAGCAGGAACATCTTACACTTACAAACTGTACTAATTATGTGTTTATAGAAACCAAGTAAGAAAAACACAATTTACTTACCATTGTCTCTCTTTTTAAGCTTTTCTTGGGTTTTGTTTAATACTTCTTTGGTCCAAGCTAACTCAGCTTTAACTTGATTTAATTTTATTTCTAAAGAAGAAATAGCTTCCTGGGGGTCAGCAAGAGATGCAATATATAAGTGAGCAATTTCAGCCTGTTTCTTAATATCAGTGACATCATCTTGAAGAGAATCAATAATGTCTTCAAATCCTACACAATTATGTCCTCCCTAAAAAACAGCAAAAACCACATGCCTAATGTTAACAGTGGCTTTTACTCTGACAGCGTGACACCAAATGACTGAAGACAATTATCAAAACAAAAATAGTCACAACTTGAAATTTAAAATATTACAGAGAACTGCCTCCAATTATAAAAATGATGCGTTCCATTTTTCTCTTTGGATGTATGGTCTACTAGGTGGCATTAAAGTTCCATTTAAAAAAAATAATCACAAACCATAGGTCGTTAAGGAATAATCATGAACATATGATAAATGAAGAAAAAGATTGAGGCTGTCTGTGAGTTCACTTCACTTGGACCAACAATCAACACCCATGGAAGCACCCATAAAGAAATCAAAATCCAATCAAGAATAAAAATAGAAATTCCAAGATTACTGATTCTTATGCTTATAAAAGTGGAAGAAGTACTAAGGAAGGCTGCAGAGGAAAGTATTTGAATGGTGAGGTTAGGAAGGAGTAATAAATACACCATGAACTGGCAAACTCTCATTCACTGCTGTTAGGTTCGTACCAATTCTCAGCTGACCTTCCAGTGGCTTTTCATGGGCTGTAAATCAGAGGAGGAGATCTTTCTCCTAAGGAGCAACTGGTGGGTATGACGTGCCAGAGGCACCACCTTGGGTTAGCTGTGCATCTAACTTGCTACCCTTTGTCTCAGAAGTGGAGTCAGGGCCTTCCTTAGAGGCAAGTATGGTGAGACAAATACTACCACCACACTTAGAATAGTTCAGAGATGGAGAGGAAGACTCTCAAAGAGATGGATTAACACAGTGACTCTAACAATGGGCTTAACACAACAGAGACGGTGAAGATGACGCAGAATGTGCACAAGGATTTGGTCAGTGGTATACAATTTCATGATCTTCATGATCTGAGTCAACTTAATGGTACCGAACAAGTTCATGAACAGGTTCAATTATATGTATATATATTTAGTATTTCAGTTAACATACTTGAGCCGTAACTTCCACAGCACAATCTTTATTCTTTGGTTCTTCTTGAGGGTCACATTTGCCAATCAAATCCTTGAAGATGGTCAAACGACATTCAGCATTTTCTTCCATTATCTCTCGTTCCTGAAGGAGAGTTTCCCTTCATAAAATAAATGAAGCCCATTGAGAAACAGAAAAAGCAAAAACTTTCAGTTGTAAAGTCTAAGGCTACATACATTCAGTATACACTAAAAACAACTTTAAATGTTCACCCACATAATGTTAATTATCATCATGGAGATGATGAAGTTATTTTTAAGCCTGTAATGAAGTCACTTTCTTAATATAGTTACTATTTATATAAAACTGTAAGTTAAAATTATCATTTTTCACTAAGATATAAAGGAGACAACTTACTTAAAATCAGCTTCCCTTTGAGCCAAATATTGAGTAAACTCTTGCGTGACTTCTTCTCGAATTTTAAATTCCAATGTTAATTTTTCCTTTTTTTCATTTATCAGTTTTTGTTTCAAGTTTTCTATTAAGTCCAACAGTTTCTAAAATACATATATATTAAAATTCTTTAAGAGAACGAATATATCCCAAGAGAAATTCTGTCCAGAAAAATAGGATGTTTACTATTTTCATTTAGTTGATTACAATTATGCAAAGATATATTAATCTGGGACATCAAATACAATTTTCCACATTTTGGAGATACTCGTATTCACTCAAGGAAGCACTGGGGGTCCACAGAGTTGTGTAGTTAACCAAAAGGCAGCACTTGTTGGGTAGACCGAGCCTACAAAGCGCTTGGCAGGAGAAGACGAGCCGTCTCCCCTCATGCACTTTACAGCCTCAAAAGCCCAAGGGAGTGCTAGCCTGAGTCAGACCCAACTCAAAGACAATGAGCTTTCTACTAACTCAAACATCTCCTAATTATCTAGCAACATCAAGGGAAAGGAACTAAGTTAATATTAACCAACTGGGAATACTTTGGGAAATTTCATTAATGCACACATCTTTCAAGAGCCTTTGTAACATTCAGATACCTTAAGTAGAGAAAGTAAGGACCAGACCCACATTATAAATGTTTCTGTAAAGTATTCATTCAACGTTAAAAAAGACTTTATATAAAATGCTTTTCATTAGTAAATTCAGAAATTTTGATAACATTTCAAATTTAATCAGAGTTTAGTCCAAATTAAAGTAGGACTCTTAATGGTTTATGAGAAAAGTACTATATACTAGAAGCCCAAGTCAATTAAAGTCTAATTGCACAGTGATCAGACAAACTGGGCTATTGTGGCATCATAAACTTTCATTCTTATTTCCAAACAATAGAGGTGTAATAATAGTTTTAAACAAACTTAAAAAAAATATTAAAATGAGAATATTTAATACATCACGCATTTTATTTAGACTTCTACATTCCAAAAGAACATTGTATGTTCACATCATTAAAATATACCCACAGCACAGGTTTACCAGTTTTTCCAAAATACTGGTAAGAAGATATATAAGTACAGTGGATTAACAAAAAGACTTGGCTACAATCCCAAATGTGCATGGTTCAAATCCACCAGATGCTCCTCTGGAAAAGGAGGGGCAATCACCCCTTGTACCAGTTGGATCCAATTCAACGGTACACAACAAGAAGGAAAAAAAATAAAAAGAATTGGTACTCGATGTGAATGATATTTGGGCAAGGAAAAGAGAATCGTTCTTAAATATAATTTATTTACCATAAAAATAAGAATACCAAACAAGACAAACTTATGAAGATTTAGGACCACTAGTGTTGGCGAGATATTATGTGCACTTGCCCTTATAACTGCAAATTAAACATCTGAAGGCAAGTGTATTTATGAGATCTCAAAATATCATCCCCCAGATCAAGTGTTTTAAAAAGAGAGTAACCTCAGGGACAATATGCTCATCAAGTTAGCAAAACTTAGGATCACCGAGAATACAAAATCAGACATTACGTGGATCTTGATATGGAGAAAGGAAATTTCATATTTACTAAGTGTCCTGGTAGTGCAATGGATTAAGCACTGGGCTGCTGGCTTATCAGACAGTAGTTCAAATACATCAGCCGTTCTGTGGAACAAAAGATCTGGCAACCTGTTCCTAAAACCACTGACAGCTTCAGAAACCCTACAATGTTGTGAGGTGCCATCAAGTAATACCAACTCATAACAACCCTACGCACAACAGACTGAAAGCACAGTCCCTCCTCAGACTCTATGCTGTGCCCACATCCGCTGTGGCAGTCGTTGTTGTCATTCAGCTCCTTGAAGGCCCTTCTCTCCTCCTGACTCTGTGCCTTTCCAAGCACAGCCTTTTCAGGGACTGGCCCCTCCTGAAAACAGGCCGAAAATATGTGACATGAAGTCTCACAATTTTTGCCTCTGAGAAGTGAGAAGTTCTACTCTCTATCCTTCAGGGTCACTGTGAGTGGTTAACAATGCTATGGCAACAGGGGGTTTTGTCTATAGTATGCTAACTTAAAAGTCATACATCTATACCAAGAGGGGGGAATCAGACAATCCCCGATTGAGAGTATTCTTTACAATATTGCAAAAAAAGGTCAAGGCTAGATTAGAGGTGACTAAAGTCATGACAAGGACTTGCTTCTGACTCACGGTGTCCTTCCATTAGATTTCAAAGGCTGTGAAAATTAACAGGAGCAAAGTGCCTCATTCTTCCAATGAACAACTGATGGAACTGAACCGTTGATCTGATTAGCAGCCCAACATATTAGGTGCTACACTCCGAGAGTTCCACTTGTGTTTATTCAAGTTACTAAATTTTTGTAGATTGCTGCAAAGAACTATACTGTAATCATTATCTACCTCCTATGCCTCCCCTTGGAATTTATGGAGGTAGTCAGTAAAAGAAATTTTAAAATCTGAAGTCTCTAGGACTAAGACATTATGCTACCATTTTTCCTTGTCCTGAAAAAAACAAGTCTCTCAAGGAAAAGACCCTTCAACTATTGGTGGATATGATGAACTTTATCACTGTATTTGGGGGAAGGATGGGCAGTCCCCTTGCGTGTGATTAAATGTCTCCGAAAACCCGCCAAAGGGTCCACTATGGGACAGTTCTGACTCTATGGTACATAGCAACAACATTATCACTATGTTGTGGTTGTTATATACCATCGAGTCAGAAACATCCCACCACTGACCCTGCAGTAGGTTTTCTGCCCATCTTGCTTCTGGGGAGCAGTTGTTGGATCTAACTGCCTGCCTTCAGTTTGAAGTGCAGCTCCTTACCTAGGGCCACCAGAACTCCCTTACATTACTATAACAATGTTCAATTCCTTGAGTAGGAGCAGTTTTGTGATTTTGAGGAAATTTTTCACTTTCCCAGAAAATACAGGCATACTGTGCTTTGCAGATGCTGTGTGTGTAATGGTTTTTATGTGCCATCAGGTTGCCTCCAACTTTATATATACGTGTGTGTGTGTGTGTGTGTGTGTGTGTGTACACCAAAAGGATAAACTGCTGGTCTGTTTAAACTGAGCTGCCTAAGTCTACGAGCACCACTTTTCCAACAGCATGTGCTCATTGCATACATATGTCACATTTTAGTAATTCTCATCATCATATACGATGACATTGTACAGTGTAGTGTAGATATAACTTTTATACGGGTATTATATAACTAATTGTTTTTATGTACCATTGAATTAGAACAGACATAAAGTTGATTCTCCAGTGGGTTTTCAAAGGCACTAAATCATATGGGAGGAGACTGCCCATCTTTTTTTCCCATGGAGCAGCAGATGGATTTGAACCATGTACCTTAGGGATGGCAGTGCAGCTGCCACTAGTATTCTGAACTCACAGTACTGCCAAGGTATGCCTATATATGCTAAAGTATTTAGTCACCCTGTCATTTCAAAAGGTCTGGAAAAGTGTATTGATATAATAAATAACTGAAATAATTACAGCAATATGCTAATATTGGCAAACCCAGGTGAACATTAAATGGGTGAATTTACCAGACCTCTTATAAGTTTCAAAGTATAAATTTAAGGTGGAAAAAGTTTGTTGAGCTGTTCAAAAATGTGGAAGAGAGGAGGGTTTAAGAGTTGTTAACTTTAACTTCAAAATGATGTACTAAGTTAGCTAGTACTATTAATACATACTCTTTTTTCCCTGCGAGTAATAAGAACTTTGTCTTCCTCTAGCGTCTGATCTAGATCTTCTTCAGTAAATTCACTTCCCACATTCTGGCCTTCTTCAGTTTTTTCTAGATCCTCAGTCATATCTTCATCTTCCGCCAGATCTTCTAGATGACTTTCCCAAGAAATCCTGCTTCTTTTCACATGTAATGCTTTACTGTCTGAATTATTGATGTCTACTGGTACAGCTTGAGCAGATTTGACTGGTGCACAAGATTTTTCTAGAGAGGTATTAAAAGCATCTGGAACAAGAACCTGTTAAGATATGCAATGTGAATTTTAAAACACTAAATCCAAAGGCTGTCAAAAGGTGGTTAATTTTAGACATTAAAAGCAAATGACAACTTGAATTTTAATTAGCCTCTTTAACATTCATATAAAGAAAGGCTAACTGTACATGCAAAATGCAGGTTAATCTAGTTTGAGTTTTAAGTTAACACTCAGCAGGGTATACCTAGGAGCACTACATCAACCAGAAAAATGGCAGAGTGAATAAATGCATTCCAAGAACTCTCACAATTGGTAACCGATTAAGGTCATTTAAGCCTCACAGAGGCAACTGTTAATAAATTTCCATATCTTTTCATTTTGTTAACTATTTACATTAACTATTTCCCAGATTTACAGTAAAAAGTATACTTTTCTAAGAAAAGATAATATTGTAATAGTCAAAAGAAATTGAATCTATCTTGCAAAAGTTTAATAATATTTACCTTTTGTGCAATGGCTGAGAACTTCAACACATTGAGTGTTTCATCATAGGCAAAACCACACTGGCTGATGTTGACAATCATACATATTTTCCCTTTACCGTTAAAAAAACTTTGAAAATAGTGGGTGAGTTTACTTTCCCGAAAAGGCACATGTTTTTGAAACCTACAAAAAAGTTTTCAAAAATAAGCTATAACCAATTTTGTGAAGTCAGGATATTGATACATTTTACAAAGAATTGATCTAATGACATGAACTTGAATTCTACACTATACAGATTGTTGTTGTTGATTGCTGTCGAGTCAAGCATGACTCATAGTGATTCTATGAACAAAAGACCTAATGCCTTTCTGTAACTATCATCATTTCTCCAAGTTCATAGCACTTTAAAGAGGTTCTTGGCAGCAGATCTGCACTGGGTAACACATAATTTTCTTTTCTTTGCTGCTGCTTCTATGGATGTTGACCTTAGATCCAAATAAAATTAAATACTTGACAACCTCAATTTGTGAGAATTTTGTTTTCTTTATTAAAGAATTCTGATAGTTTCATCTGTAAAGAGTTTGAATCCACTAGCAACTTCCCAGGAGAAAGATGGTATCTTCCTGTGCAATTTTAGTCTCCTGAAAACCTGCTTGAGGGTCAGCTGTCAGTCACTTCTGGCTTGACAGCAGTGAGAGTATACTGAAGGCTGATCTTGTTCAGTAAGTGCTAAGTCTTCTTTACTGCAAGCCAGGCTGTTATCAACTGTTTATCACATATTGTTGATGAGTCTTCTACCAATTCTAATGCCATATTTTAATTCACATAGCCCAGCTTCTGAAATATTTGCTCACTATATACAGACATATATACACTAAACAGATTATATATACAGATTATAAGGAATGGTTAAAGGATACAACTCTGATATGAGCCTTTCTTGATTTTAAACTATATACAGTGTTTCTTTTTTTCTGTTCAAAGGACTGCTTCTTAGTCTATGGCTCCATTACGTCTTCTGGAATCCCCACTCTGATCAATGCTATTCATAATTTATTATGATCCACACAGTCAAATGCTTTTACATAGTCAATAAAACATTCAAGCTAGCATGCTAATTTATGCAGATATCGATCATAACTGAAAGAACGAACACCCATGGCATATTACTAAAAAGAAAGCGGTTTTTACTGCTCATCCAGCATCCAAAGAAGCATATGCTGGTATTTGTTAGGGAAAATATTAAGGAACCCTGGTCGTGGTAACTGGTTAAGTACTTGGATGCTAAATCAAAGATACTGGTGCTAACTCACTCCGGGAATCAGTAGATACAGAAGGGAAAGGATACACTGATATGTTTCTGTAAAGATGATAGCTGAAGATTCATAGAGGGCCATTCTACTCTTTTCCATGGGTTGCTATGAGACAAAACTCACTGAATGGTACCTAACAACAAGGAAAATAATTTGGGTACTTGATAAGTGACATTGGTTTTTATTTTTCATGGTTTTTCTGTTATTGTAGTTTTATTTAAAAAAATCTGAGGCCTATATTATCTCTTTAATGATAATTTATTTGATTATTACATAAAATCAAATTGAAAACAAAAAAGAACTTTCTAAACACAGTAAAAGTTCAAGTATTAGCATGCTTAATATGCTAATAGCACTTACTTTCAGCAATACTTACTTTGACTTTTCACTGTTCTTTAAAACATTAATACACTTTCCAAGGGTCAATAAAGAAGTGTTAATGTTGCCAGTCTCTCTTAACCTTTCACCTTCATTATGGGTCTTCATGCTTCTTTCTGAACCAGCAAGATCACACAAAGACAATCTGAATTAAGAAAAATAACAACTACTTTAAAAGTCTTTCAAAACAACCCAAAGTAATTACAATTTTTTAAATGCTCAACTTACTCACTGACTCGTACTACACGAGGCGTATCAGAATCTTCAATCCATAATATTCTAATAGTGAATATGCTGTGACTAAAACACAAAAAGGGAAAAATTATCTTCCAATTAATTTTTCATGTTGGCATCCTACACAGCAGAGCAAATAAAACCAAAGTGAAAAGCCCTACGGCCAATGAGCAGATTCGGACTCAAAGTGACACTATATATAACACAGAACACAACTGTTCTACAGCGGTCCTCAGGCTGCACATCTTTACAGAGACAGACTCTTACAGAGAGTCTGGTAAGTCTGAACTTCAGACCTGCTGGTTCCCTGAATGCTTCAATCTTGACACCACCAAGGCTCTAAAGGGGCAACAAATATCACCAACTTCTACTTATATCCTAAATCACCAAGACACAAATATCTAGCCATAGCTCCAGCTATACCGCAAGGTAGTTACCTAAGAAATAAGTTGCCAAATGTTTCAACCCAATGGTCCTCTATCACCCACCTACCTTTATGCCTAAAAAGCAGGAACCTTATCTTTCATCTCACCCAAATATCCCAAGTCTGATCCTCCTCTCAGCTTGTATTGAAGGAATCATTACAATAAATTCTCAGTTTATCTAAGAGCCACATAATTACAATGGTACTAAATGCTGCTAATCTCTGATTATGTACCTAAAGTTAAACATGAATTTGACCTATGTATTGGCAAATCTGGATCTAAGATTATCAACTGGACTTTTCTTCCAAAAGCTATTTTAAGTAACTTATTGCTTAACCTTAAATTCTTTGTCCTCCAACCTTTAATCCCTTCAATTACAAACACCATTCCTTAACCTGCCTAAGATTCATGGCCTAACTCAGTATTCATATAGCATCTATGCTTATGGTATGGAGGTAAAAGCAGACAGAAAAGCACACTATAGTATAAGGAACTCTGAAAATATGATCATGAGCATTCACTTATGGAAAAAATAAGTACACTCAAGTTCCCCCAGAATTTATAAAGCTTTTTAATGTGTTTTAAATAAAATTTTAAAAACACAACATCATCAACTGATTGATACCAAGTCAAAACCGGCTAACAGCTGACCCTCCATGTTTTCCAAGGCAGTAAAATGCACAGGAAGAGAATGTCCACTTTTCTCCTACAAAAAGGTTGATGGATCCAAACTAGTAGAGAGAAGCTGTCTCTGGGTTAGCATTGTTATTGCTGCTGTTAAGTGCCATCAGTATGACTCACAGCGACCCTATGAACAAAAGAGCTGAACCCTCTTCAATAATTATCGTTGTGTCTCTAATGTTCATAGATTTTCCAAAGGCCTATTCTTTAAGAAGTGGATGTCAACCATGCTTCCATGTCTGTCTTAATCTGGGAGCTTTATCAAACCCTGTCCACCACGGGTAAGCCTTACGGCATTTGACACACTAGCTACACTAGCATTCAGTATCACAGCAACACCAAGTTATCTCAGAACAAACAACTGACAGACCAGTGCTATACTGCTCAGAACAACATACTTCCCAAGCACAGTTAAAACCAGGCCCAGGGTCAAATGCCTGAGGGACCAACCAAAGGCCCACCCACCAGGTCCTGATTGACTTAAATAAGAGGCTGCCAGCACCCAGCTGATTATTAGCTAAATCCAGGCAACCAATAAGCTTACACACAATTGTGAACAAAAAAAACCCCAACCAAACCAAACCAAACCAAACAAACAAACAAAAAAACAGAAAAGACCCCTACTAACCAGTTTATACCCAATTTTCAACTAAATCAAGAGAACCTACACTACAGAATCCAACTGCTTCACACAGTCAGGACCCAACAGAATTCTAAATACAAAGGCCTACCCACCAGGTCTTGAAGAAGAGGCTTCCAGCCCACTGCTGTTAGCTAAATCCAGTTTATATATGATTGCAAAAGGATTTCATTTTTTTTAAAAAAAGACCAGTTTACACCTGACTTTATAAAAATTATAAACAGTACAGATATTCTTATGTGCTTTTCCGTTTATACTTAATATGCCAGATTATACTGCCTGCATTATACTTAAACTACTTGTATTTTAAATTGGCACAAAATACACTGGACAATCCAGGCTTACAACAGAGTTTTTGTCTCACCTTCTACTAGAAGCATTGTTTAGTTTTGTGAAGGCAACACTCTGGTTTTTTATTCCTACTTTTAAAAGTCTGTATGCTTCTTTGGAATCAGATACTTGAATCCACTGAAGATCTTTAAAAAAAAAAAAGACACATGAATTCATAAAAACGCAGATTTATTCTATATTATAATCTCTTTGAAGATCTATCTCTAGCAACATATAATGAACTGTGAAGATAAATAGATGGAGTCAACAAAACTAGTCCCTATGCTTCTAGATAGAAGGTACAGAGGTACATAATATAATGTTTCAGTATTTATCATATTATCACATAAAGTACATTTTCAACAGTCTGCCAAAAAAATTAAAAACTGGTAAAATTCCTTAGAAAGAGAAAACAGAAAGATAAAGATCAAAGGCATACTTACACTACAAGAAAAAATCTAGATGTGACATACTGCAGGTTGACGTTCAGTAGTAAGTCATGATAAAATTACTGAGCATTTATGAGAATTTTCCTTATAAAGGACATAAATATATAAAACATGACAGCATGTCTTTTGTAGTAAAGGTATGAATACTCATTGAAACTTTTTGTTACGTATTTATACCTATGCATATAACGCAGGTGCTGGTCATGACGGTATTAATTTCTTATTACAAGCCAGGGTGTAAACTATGGTGTAATATGGTAAAAAAAAAAACCAACCCCAAAACACCATTGTTGAAACACAGTAACATTTCATTGTTCCAAAGACAGGCATAGTCACAAAGTAGAAGGATGGAACTTTGAGTATACACAGTATTGTTCCGATCTCTCAAATGCTAACCATTGGTACTTAGCAGAGATAAATAAAATAGACACCTGTGTTTTTATGTGTTAATGAACATATAAATATATACATTCCCATAACACAAATGCTTCTTCTTTTCTTGATGTTAATAACCAGTATAATAAAAGCCAATTTCTAGTTTTCTTTTACTTAAGCTATCACAAATCCTAAAGAGAGAGTTAAAGCAATAAAATAAAAAAATATCTACAACTCTACCTTTTATAAAAGAATATCCCTTTACATCTTGGGAAAGTCGTAGCACCTTTCTCTTTTGGAATTTGGTTGATACAGAAACAAACAAATCATAAATACATTCATTGTAGATCTCAAAGAAGGAAACCCACACGGAACATTTTATATTACTATCCATATCCAAGCTTGTTTGTTCGCAATCTATCATACACTCTTCAAATTCTGGAATATTCAAAGAATTTACTAAACTTCCTACAAGAAAAAAGAGAATGACAAAATTAAGCAACCAACTAAAAATGAAACAGAAGGTCTGTACCTGTTAATTCATTGACTAACCTATGGTAAACCCAATTTTGAATAAGCAGTTTGTAGATAATATTTACAACTTGAAGGCACTTAACAACAACAACAACATAGAGCTCCATATTGGCCTAGTGGATAGAAAGTCATGGTGCCAAGTCAAAGGTGGGTGATTTTAATCTGCGGCCCTCAGGCCTGGTTTTAATTGGTTTTGGTCAAACATTCTTCTAAGTGCATAGCACTGGTCTGTCCATTCTGTACAGAGGAAACTCCTGGTTGCTGTGTGCTAAACACGGTAACACTGATGTGTCAAATGCAATAACGATTACCCATGGTAGACAATGTTTGGTGGGACTCCCTGATTAAAACAAGTTTGGAAGCAGGAGTGGCATCTACTTCCGAAATAGCTTACCACCAGAAAGCCTCTGAACTTGGAGAAACGAAAGCTATACAAGTGTTCAGATCTTTTATTCATAGGGTCGCTATGAGTTGTCTACTACTCAATGACACTTAACAACAACAACAAACTAAAATATGGCTTCCTCCTAGTCTATCTGAAAATATGCTTAGGAACTAAACTGAGATTATAGAAAAACAAGTGGCTACAGAGAAAACTGTATAATTAGTAAAAGGGACATCTGAGATATTTAATTAAACAAAACACTGTTAAATAACATTTCATATATGTATCATTTTTCAGATATTGATTATGTCACTAAAGGAAGCAGATATAGAAATTATTAAAATATTAAAAGAATCTCAAATGTATTTCATATGATGAACATTTTAAAAGTAGAAAAAGTGAAAAAGGAAACTTTACCATGAAGAGTATCATAACTGTCATTATGTACAGCAATCTGAAAAAAATTATAAAACTTACTGTTAAATAATCTTATTATTTATTCAAATAAGCCATCAACTAACCCACAACTTTCCATCTACTTGACATGACTGTTTATTTGCTTTATTCTCTCATAATAAATCAGAAACTACAGAAAACATATTTCTAAATACCAAAATCCATAATCTCTATAATCTGTAATTAGTGTTAATATTTCAATATATCCCCTCCTATTCCTTTTCTCCACAATTAACACTATATAAGCTTTTTCTGTCTACAATTAAAATGTATTTGTAAATATTTTAAGAGTTTAAAACTGAATAAATGTAAAGCAATCTACATAATAATGCAAAATTTTCCCCCCATGGGGGAGTGGACTTAGGGGGGTAATTTTATAATAATGAAAGCTGGGTTTTTTTTAATTTTAAAAGAGAAAAACTAAGTGGGGATAGGTGTGGGCAGGGAGGAAAATGTGCAATAATAAATGAATGTAAATCCAAAGTCTCTATAAACTTTCATTAAAATTTAAATTAAAACTTCATTAAAATTTAAATTAAAACTTCTTTATAAAAAAAAGAAGCAAACTTTTTTTTTCCTTTTTAAATAGAGTATAAAATGCATTAAGGAAGCTCTGGCAGCCTAAAGGTAAGGAGTTCTGCTGCCACTGAAAGGTATGAGGTTCGAGTTCACCAATTGATGGACAATCTCCTCCCATATAATTTACAATCCTGAAAAGCCCCTGGAAGGTAAGTTTGAGTTCATTGCAACTAAATAGCACCTAACAAAAACATAATCATTAAAAATTTAAAATAATCTTACAAATTGACAAGAAAAGGTCAAGTAATAGCAATGTCAAATTACAGAAAAATTCCAGTAAGCATTAATCACTTCTTTCATAATTCAAGGAGCAAAAATTAAACACAGATGAGAATTTTTATTGAGAAATCAGAAGATTTTCATTAATTCAATGTTAGAATAGCTTGAGAAAACTAGCACTCTCATTCATGGGCAGTGAGGAAGTTAAGAATAATAAAAAAAATATAAAACACATATATACATTGACATAAGAGCTTTATGTCTAAAATTTACCCCTCAGACTTAGATGCAAAGCAATATTTCCTCACTGAAGCACTGCTTAAATCATGAAAGATGAAAACAATGCAAATGTCCATCAAGAGAGAACTGTTTAAAAATGTGAAAGAAAAACCAAAATTCAATGCCACAAGTTGAAGTCGACTCTCCAGTGGGTTTTCCAAGACTACATTGCAACAGAGATTCCCTTCTTTCTCCCAATGGAAAGGCTAGTGGATGGATTCAAGCCTCTAGAGAAGAAGTTACCAGTGCAAATCCTTCAGTAATATACTACCATAAGTATTAAGGGCTTCTAGATATGCCAAGTGAAAGATCAAGTTCTAGATAAAATCCTGTATTTATAGAAAAAAGAAAATCAAACATTGTATGGGGAAAAAAGATGACAATATATGTAACCATACATATGACTGTTTATGTATATCATATTTAAAGGCTGCTGAACAGATCTAAAAGAGCATTTCTCTTCTCTTAATAGTGGCTTTCTTCCTGAGGAATGGAATTATGAAGAATTTGTACTCCCTCCATCACACTTCCTTGTTTAAATTTGTGTGTACATATTACTTTCATAATAATAAATAAGGACTCTGAAAATTTCCAAATTTATTTAGAAAGAAAAGAGTCCCTGAAAGCAAAGCTCTACTGAAAAAGAAAAACACAGGAGGCCATCATAATCCCTGATGGCAAAACCTACTACCATGCTGTAGAAATCAAAACGGCATAGTATTGCAACAGTGACAAACACATGTTGTTGTTGTTGTTAAGTGTCATCGAGTTGCCTGTAACCCATAACAACCATATATACAGCAGTTCTGAAGTGTACCCTGTCCTAAGCCAGTCTCACTAATTCTGACACACAAACCCCCACTGCTCCAGTCACGGTATCAATCCATCTCATCCAGGGTCTTTCTCTCTTGTGCTGTCCCTCCACCCTTCGGAGCATCATATCCTTTTCCAAGGACTTGTCTCTCCTGGCTACATGCTCAGAATATGTGAGAGAGAGCTTCAAAATCCTAGCCTCCAAAGAGAGACTTGGTTTCATCCTCTCCAAGACAGACCTATTTGTTTTCTTGGCAGTCCATAACAAGTTCAAGACTCCTCCAGCACCACAATTCAAAGGCATTGATTCTTCTTCTGTCACTCTTAGTCATTTTTCCACTCTCTGAAGCATAACGATTAATTGCGAGACAGACACATAGACCAATGCAACACCATCGAGTTCTGAGAAATCAACCCATCTACCTACAGCCATCTGATCTTTGAGGTGAAATTGATTAAGAAAGGAATTGACATCCTCTTTAACACGTTGCCACACACTTTTAAAATTGACAACCGTGCTTAGAAACACATTTGCCGTCATTTGCGGCAACGTGTTAACAAACGGTATTGGCAAAAGAGGCCATCTAACTGCAGAATACTGAAATGATCTACATCTCCTGCCACACACAAAAACAAATTCAAGGTGGATCAGCGATCTAGAAGCAAAACCAAAAACTGTAAAGAATGTCAGAGAGAAAAAAATAGGAATAACTTTAGAAGCCATAATCTACAGCATGAAAAGACTCTAAAAGAAAAAAAGAAAGAAAAATCCACAATACACCTAATATCAAATACCAAATACCAAAATACACAATACCAAAAATCCAGGAGATGATAAAAGAGATGAAAGGGACCTTCTGAAAATCAAATCATTATGTGCACCAAAGGCAGGCCACAGAATGGGAAAAAATATTTGGCAATAACATATCTAATAATAATGATATGTCTAATTTATGGAATGATCCTGCATTTCAACTAGAAAAAGACAACCTAACTAATAAGCAGAAAATATTAAAAGCCTCTAGACCAAAGAAGATATTCAGATGAAGTAACAAATACATAAAGAAATGTTCACTAGCTATTACAGGGACATAGGGTTGCTATGAGTTGCAAGCGACTTGACAGCACATAACAACAACAACAAATCAAAACAATGAGGTATCATCCTGTGGGTCTCTCTCAGTGTTCCATGCCAAAGTGAATCGTAACCCCGAACAACTGTTTGATCTCCCTGCTTGTAGGTTGAAGTCAGTGAAGTGGGTTGCTCAGTAGGAAAAAAAAAACAAAACACAAGGAGTTGTCAATCTAAATTCAGCAATGGCAAAATTCAACAGGACAGCAAACAAATACTGGTGAGGACAGAAGAGATTAGAACTCTCGGGTACTGCTGGTGGGATTGTAAAATTATACAATCATTATGAATGGCAGTCTGGCACTTATTCAAAAGGCTGAAATTAGAAATACTATTTGACCCAGCTATTCCACTACTGGAAATACACCCTAAAGAAATCAGAGTTGCAACATAAAACAGATATATTCACACTCATGTTTATTGTAACATTATTTACAACAGCACAGAAATGGAAGCAGTCCAAATGCACATCAACAAATGGCTAAGAATCTGAAGTATACTGACTGCCACAATGGAATATTATGCAGCCTTGAAAAACAGTGAAGAATTCATAAAACATTACACAACACAGGTGAGTCTAGAGGAAATTCTATGGGATAGTTCTCAGTCACAGTAGGACAAATAATGCATAAGACCTCTGTTACATGAAGAAATGACCAGATATTACGTGTATTGCAATTAACAACCTGGAATAGGACATGCATTACTAACTGAACAGAGGGGAAGAAGTGGAAGGGGAAGACTAAGGAAAAATTCACACAGAAACAATTTTGGAGGGTTGACCTTGGAGGAGTTTGACCTTGGGAGCGGAGGGAAAGGAAGCAAAGACTAGCAAATGGATGGCCCAACTGAGTGTGGAAACTACAAAACAGTGCCATTGATTTCACATGCAAGCAAGATTCATCCAAAAACGATTAGAACAGCACATCAGCAGAGAACTGCTGGAAGTCCAGGCTGGGTTTAGAAGGGGTCGTGGTACTAGGGATATTGTTGCTGATGTTAGATGGATCTTAGCTGAAAGCAGAGAATACCAGAAGAATGTCTATCTATGTTTCATTGATTATGCAAAGGCATTTGACTGTGTGGATCATAACAAACTGTGGCTGACTCTGAGAAGAATGGGAATCCCAGAACATTTAATTGTGCTAATGCGAAACCTATACTTGGACCAAGAGGCAGTAGTCAAAACAGAGCAGGGTAACACTGCATGGTTCAAAATCAGGAAGGGTGTGCCCCAGGGATGCATCCTGTCTCCATACCTTTTCAACATGTATGCAGAGCAGATTATCCGAGAGGCTGGGCTCTATGAGGAGAATTGTGGCATCAGGATTGGTGGAAGATCTATTAACAATCTGCGTTATGCAGATGACACACCCTGCTTGCTGAAACTGAGGAGGACCTCATGCACTTGCTGCGGAGGGTCAAAGACTGCAGCCTTCAGTATGGACTGAGGCTCAATGTCAAGAAGACAAAGATTCTCACCACTGGACCTATTGGCAGCGTCAGAATGGATGGCAAAGAGATTGAGATTGTTCACAGCTTCAGTTTGCTCGGCTCCACAGTCAACACTCTTGGCACCAGCAGTCAGGAAATCAAAAAGCGTATTGCGATGGGAAAGTCTGCTGTTAGGGACCTCTCTAAAGTACTCAGGAGCAACGGTGTCTCTCTGGAGACTAAGGTGTGCCTGATAAAGGCCATGGTATTTGCAATCGCTTGTTATGCATCAGAGAGTTGGACAATGACTAGGGAGGACAGAAGGAGAGTTGATGCCTTTGAGCTGTGGTGCTGGAGAAGAGTACTGAATGTACCATGGAATGTCAGGAAAACAAACAGATTCATCTTGGAGAGGATTAAACCAAACTACTCCTTGGAGGCAAGGATACTGGGGCTTCTTCTGACATACTTTGGACATGTTGCCAGGAGGGACGGGTCCTTGGAGAGGGACATCATGCTTGGTAGGGTGGAGGGACAGCGCAGGAGGGGAAGACGCTCTATGAGATGGATTGATTCGGTGACTGGGGTAATCAGGATTGGTGTGTCAGAGGCAGTGCGGTTGGCGCAGGATAGAGCAGGGTTTAGGGCTGTTGTGCATATGACACAACAAGGGTCGCTATGAGTCGCAAACGACTCGACGGCACATAACAACAACAACATAGCAAGGCAAATGACAGTACTGTGAAAATTGTAGTTGATGTTATAGGACAAAGTATATATGAGTAATTGAATAAAAATCTGTTAAACAAGGGATTTATGTATCATTTATACTATACTATGGCTACCCATTTCTTAGAAAATGTATTTGCAATGAATAAGTCGTTGATTGTGCAAAATTCTACCATTCTATCTCTGGCTTCATTTCTGTCACCACGTCCAAGTTATTCAACTGATGATCCTTCTTTTCTATTTCCAACTTTTGCATTCCAGTCACCCATTATTAATGCATCTTGATTGCATGTTCAGTCTCACTGCAAAAGTTGGTAGAAATCTTCTATTTCCTCCTCTTTGGCTCTGGTTGCTGGTGCATATATTTGAACGATGGTGGTATTCACTGGACTTCCTTGTATGTGTACAGATATTATCCTGTTACTCACAACATTGTATTTCAAGACGGATCTAGAAATGGCATTTTTAACTATGAGAGCAACCCCATTTTTCCTCACCTTTTCGTCTCCAGCATAGTAGATCAAATGATTCTGATTCAATATGTTCCATGCCAGTCTATCTCATTTCGCCAATACCTAGTATGTCAATATTATGTGTTCCATTTCCTTCATAACAATATCCAATACCCCTGTTCTTCTATTGTTCATAGGTTTCTCGAAGGCCTGTTATTTCAGAAGCAGATCAAACCTGCTTGAGTCTGTCTTAACCTTGAAGCTTCGCTGAAACCTGTCCGCCATGGGTGACCCTGCTGACATTTGACACGCTGCTGGCTTATGCACAGCACTGGCAGACAAGTGTAAACACTAAACAAACAAGCTTATGCACACCTAAACTGTAAACTAATCATCTCAACATCAAGAAAGAAAAAACCCTCATTACTAGGCCAACAGGTAAAATTATAAGCGATGGAGAAAAGCCTGAAACTGTCAATGATTTACTTTTCTTTGGATCCACAATTAACCTCCTCTGTACCCACAGCCAGGAGCTCGGATGTGTATACCTTTAGCAAAGTCTGCTGTCAGGCATCTCTCTAAAGTCCTGGAGAGCAAAGATGTCCATTTAAAGAATAAGGTGTGCCTGATTCAAACCATAGTTTTTCCAATCACTTGCTTTGCATCTGAGAGCTGGACAGTGAGGAAGGATGATGGAAGAATCAATGCCTCTGAGCTGTGTTGTTGGAGAGGACCGAATACTCCACAGACTGCCAAAAGAACAAAGAGTACGTCTTGGAAAAAGTACAGTCAGAATGCCCCTTAGAGGAAAGGTTGATGAAGCTTCTCATCACAAACTGGGCATGTTGCCAGGTGAGACTGTTTCTTAAAGAGGAACATCATGCTCAGAAAAGAGGAGGATCAGCAAAAAGAAAGACCCTCAACGAGATGGACTAGCACAGTGAACGCAGTAATGGGCTCAAATGTGTCCGAGATGGTAAAGACAGGAGAGGGTTCAGATCTGTTGTCGATAGGGTCACTAGGAGTCATACTCAATGGCACGTAGAAAGAACAACCGCTTACCGCTTATACATAATGTATCAAAATATAGTTCTACACTAAAATACTATTTCTACAGTAACCAGAAAAGATTTCAGAATTTTCACATTTGTATTTTTTCTGGCAGTCTGTAAAATGCAAAATTGGTATGTCTTAACATAACTTTTTCCATAATCTTCTCAAAAAGAAAAGACAGACATCACCATATTGTACAATGTTGGCTGAAGTAAATCAAAGGGTTGATTAAAAACTAGTGACATATATATTTCATATACGAAAATACTTTCATACCTCTTTAATTTGCCGAAGCAATGCATTTTTGTTAGCAATTTCTTCTTTCTCTTGATCTGGTGACAACTGTAAGCATTCTCTGGATCTATGAGGTTTCAGATTCATCTTTGTATACAGTCTTTCCCGAAGACTACCAAATAATACATTCAAAGTTCGAGGCAGAATACCAATATTTTCTTCTGTGCCTGTAAAAAGAATTTTTGTTTATCACCTATTACTTTTCACTCATTACCTATCTTAGAATTCAACATTTCTCATTAATAACAAGTGAACTCTGGTGGCCTACTGGTAAGGAGTTGTGTTGGCAATTCAAAGGTACATGGTTCAAATCCACCAGTTGTTCTGCAGGGATAAAAATGAGCAGTCTCCTCTTGTGTGATTAACTGCTTCTGAAAACCCACTGGAAGAACAACTATGGTTTGGGTCCAACTCAACTGTACACCAATATAAATAACAATTCAACAATATAAAATTTACTAATGAATTATTCTGCCCATTAACAACACTTATAGTAGTAACAAAGCATGCCAAGGTGAGAGCCCAGACTAAGTTAGGCCATGATGGGTAAAGCTGTATGTCAATTTGACCCAACTCAACTGTACACCAATATAAATAACAATTCAACAATATAAAATTTACTAATGAATTATTCTGCCCATTAACAACACTTATAGTAGTAACAAAGCATGCCAAGGTGAGAGCCCAGACTAAGTTAGGCCATGATGGGTAAAGCTGTATGTCAATTTGACAGTGTCTTAAGTGTCAGAGGTTTGACAGTTAATAATGTGATCTAATGTGGTCATTCTCTATTTCCCCATAAATGGCGTGGTCTTTAGAATTTAATCATGTTGATCAATAAGAAGTAGACATATACTGTTTCAGAGTGATAAGAAGGAAGAATCCTTCCTGGAACACGAAGGATATACCTTATTGATCAAGGAGTCCTGCAGCACTGGGATTAAGAGCTCAAGTACTAGCAAGAAGTACTAACAGAAAGGTAAGGCAGCTTAAACCCACCAGCTACTCCATGGGAGATGAGGCAATCTGTTTCTGTAAAGATTACAGCTTTGGAAAACCTATGAGACAGTTCTGGAATAGGCCTGGAATTTCCTCAATGGGTATACCAACAATAGGGTGGCAGAGTCTGTAGGGAGTTGCACAGCTAATCCAAAGGTCAGGGTCTCTCTGATGGCTCAAATTCACCAGAGCTCCAAGGGAGAAAGATGAGCAATCTCCTTACAAGCAATTAACATCATCAGAGACCCAATAGAGGGTCAGTACCATGTCAGTTCCAACTCAATGGTAATGAACTGAATTGAGTTTGAAACCGGCAATAGGCTTGATAAACAGCTAAGAGAAAAGTTAAGAGAAATTGAAAATTTCTCATCTCTTCAGCCTTCACCATAATATTGGCATTTTATATAATACTCATGCAACATATGAACTTTACCATTAAGATTAGGCCAAAATATTCATATTTGTAACCATCAACAGCCACAAAAAGGAGACCCAGTGGCACATCATGTGTCCTGGTGCTCACAGAAAGGATGGTAGTCAAATCCACCAGGCACGCCCAGAAGATAAGTGGTCTGCTCCTGTGAAGATTTACAGATGGAAACGTGATGTAGCATCACTATGCATTAGAAAGGTGGATTTGCTTCTTGGTATAATCACAAAGTATAGAAAGAAACTGGCTATTCAATGCCACAACAATCTTATGTCTGTATTTCCATCATCATTTCACGCTATCATATAGGTAGTTTTGTAAGTGAACTAAATCAAGATGAATTGAAAACAATATAAAAATGTGGCACACATATTTAAAGGAGACAAAAACCACAATCAAGTATTGTCAATATTAAGAATGAATATAAAAGTAAAGCATATACTTACCTTGAATTGTGTATGTTTTTCCTGAGTTGGTTACCCCATAGGTAAATATCAGCCGACTCTGTCCTTTTAAGAGGTCTTTTACCTGCTGCATCATGCAACCTTGAAAGAATTCTTTCTGTGTGGTTTCTGACCCAAACACCTAAGGAAGCATTTTAAAAATAACATTTGAGAGACTAAAGTTTGTCCTTACAATGAGTTCTACCTTCTCCTGGTTAAGTAATAAAAATGATTGCTTTCATAGGATTCACTCTTGTTGTTTATGTCATATATTTACTTCCACAAATACATTTGATGGTTTAATTGCCAAGTAAAAGAAGGTCTGAAGACTAGGTTTGACATAGCCAATTAAGTTATGACAAGAATTAAGAATTTAGAATTAAGTTTTAAAGAAAGGGAAGGAGATGGTTAAGTACAATACAGTGATTTATTAACATCCAACTACATATTTACAGACTTGAAATTTGAGCCCTACACATGAGAAACAATAATTATTCTCTAACCTGAAGAAAAAATCTAAGGTTCATTGTATATTTTTATAGCAATTTTACTACAGATATCTGTTTTTTTAAAAAAAAAAATCCTTCAATGCTGCGAGACACTTACCTTGGAAAAACTGAATTTCTGTACCATCTGCCCAGAGTTCTTCTCATTTGACTGACCAGTGCTGCTTTGGGGATCTTTAAGGAGAATACTCTGTGAATCCAGAATGCACACACAGCCCTGGAATGTACACACACAAGAAATAAATAACAGTGGTATTATACCCACTTAATTAAAGTAAAATATAAAATCTGATTCATTAAACACAAACCTCTGATGTATGTTCCTTTTCTGACTCTGTTAATGGTCTTATTCGAAGACACACCTGGAGGTAATCTTTGGATTCCAAACTACTTATCTTAAGAAAGAAAATAAAGAATTATTAGAAGAATATACCATGTAAGTTTTCCGTAATCAACTTGCTTTAATACAGGTAATAATTACAGAAGAGTTTGAGGGGAACCAATTAGTCGCAATCTTCTGCTTAAATGTTCTATATGTATTTAAAAACCCTCAAATATGTTTTTAAAAACAAAATATAAAACAAGAATCAGACGGTACACACACAAAATAATAATAAAATTTAAAAAAAAAAAACTACCAAAGTGCAAGAATCAGTCCCTGATGTAGGTGTATTTTACCTACAGTTAGTAAACTTTGTTGCTGTTGTTTTAAGTCATGAAGTTGGAACCGACTCATAGCTGGAATCGACTCAAAGCTGACCTGGTGGTAGATTTTCAGAGGCAATAAACTGCACTGAAGGAGACTGTCCCGCGTTACACCAATGGGCAACAGTATTTAATTTTGTAATTAGTTGTTATTTGCCCTCAAATCAACTATGACTCATGGCTACCCTATGTACTATGGCTCTGACCCTACCTCTCCATCTCCGACATACCTCTCCTATTGCCATAGTCATTCCATCTCATCAGTCCATTTCATTCTTCTCCCACAGAGCAGCCGGCAGACTTGAACAGCATGCCTTTATAATTGCAGCATAGCTACTTAACCACTAGATCACCAAAGATCTGTTGCAAAATGTACTGTGATAAAAACCCTAAGTGGCATATATTTTAAAAGTTCCTAAGTTATGATGATTAATAAAAAAATCTTCAGAAAATCTTAACTAGAATATTATAAAAATGATTGATTCCATCATGCTAGCATTTTTTTTAAAAGTACGTAACACAAAATAATTTTCTTTGAGGAAAAAGAAAACTATTAACTCATTTTAAGGTAAAATTTAAAGTAGCTGGTACATTCAAACAGGCAGAGAGGCATGGCCTTGGGTTAGCAGTGAACTCCCTACAAACTAGGCTACTAGAGCTTTATCCATGAAACCAGTGACCTACAAACACCAAGAGATGACAGTATTTTATAGTTATTTGTTATGTGCCCTAAAATCAACTGAGTCATGACGACCCTATCTATGTACTATGGCTCTGAACTGTGCCCTGTTCTGTGCTAGCCTCACCATCTCTAACACATCTGACCTAATGCCATAGTCATTCCATCTCATCAATCCATTTCATAGAGGTGTTCCTTTCTTTTGCTGGCCTTTTATCCTTCCAAGCATGAAGTTCTTCTCCAAGGACTAGCCTACCTCCTGCCAATATACCCAAAGCATACGAGACAGATTTTCACCATTCCTGCTTCCAAGCACACTGGTTTCACTGTCTCCAAGACAGTCCCTTCTTGTTTTCTGGGCAGTCCATTGTATGTTCAATACTCTTCTCCAACACCACAACTCCTGCCATCCTTTGTCACTGTTCAGCTTTCAGATGCAAAGCAAGCGAGAAGACCATGGCTTGAGTCAAGTGCACCTTTGTCATCATTGCTCTTTAGACTAAGGAGAGGTCTGTGACAGATTTTCCCAATGCCATTTGCCTTATGTCCTAAATGTTGGTGCCAAGGGTGCAGAATGGGGATTCAAGCACGAATGAAATTGTTAACAACTTCAATCTTTTATCTATCATGATGCTGTCTACTGGCCTGGAGATGAAAATTTTTGTTTTCTTGATGTTGAGATGCTACCCATATTGAAAGTTGCAGCCCCTTGATCTTCTGCAGCAAGTGCTTCAGGTCCTCTTCACTTTCAGCAAGCAAGATTGTTATCACCTGTGTAACAAAGGTTGTTGATGAGTCTTTCTCCTATCTTGATGTCACATTCTTCTTCACAAAGTTCAGCTTCTCACATGATGCATACACATCATCATATAAACTGAATACATTAGGAAAAGGATACACCTCTGTTGTACTCTTTTCTTGATTTTGAACCATGGAGTTTTTCCTTGCTCTGTTCAAACTATACCTTCTTAGTCTTGGTATAGGTTTCACATAAGCACAATCAAGTGTTTTGGGTTTCCCGTCTTCTCAATGTTAGCCATATTTTGTTGTGATCCATATAAATGCCTTTGCATAGTCAATAAAGCACACATGGATATCCTTCTGGCACTTGCTGTTTTTAGCCAAAATCTATGAGACATCATCAATGACAAATCCTAGTGCCACAGCCTCTTCTAAACACAGCTTGTATTTCTGTCAAGCTCTGTTGATGTAGTATTCTAGTCATTTTTGGATAATCTTCAGCAAGATTTTGCTTCCATGTGATATTAATAATATTGTTCAGTAATTGCCACACTACTTTTGTGATTATTTTTTCAAACACAAAAATATCTGAATGTCTATTAACCAGTAGATCTTCAATAAAGCTGGAAAAATTTTAACATGCTGAAGAACAATTCAGGATCCATGCCTCATATCATACAAAAATCCAATTCTAAATGGATTAAGATCCTAAATATGAAAATGAAAATATTATTAGACAAAAATATAAGGCCATGACTGAAGGGCTTATTTTTTAATGGATTATAAGATGTAATATCAAAAGCATAAGAAATAAAATATAAAATAGTTAAACAGTAAATTATAAAAATATTATTTCATATCAAAGGACTCTATTTGAAAAGTTTAAAGACAGCCTATGGATTGGGAGAACAATTTTGAGAACTCTACATAAAATAAGGGGCCTAGTATAAAAAAATGTACAAATTCAAGATTATCATAAAAAAGACAAAGAAACGAGCAAAGGACTAGAGCAGATCTATCACCAAAAATAATGCGCAAATTGGCAACAACACAATGCTGTTAGGTACTATCCAATATCCAATAGATTTTGGACTCAGTTACCTCAACTACTTCACTTCTACTAGGAAGAATAAGATGATTAAATAGGAAAAACTGATTAATGTTAGCAAAGATGTGAAGAAACTGGACCCTTACCCTTACATACTGTTAGTGGGAATGCCAATTTGTACATTTCCTGTGAAAAACATGTATAGTTTGGCAGTTACTCAAAAGGTTAAATGCAGTACTACCATGTCGCTGTTGTTAGGTGCCATCAAGTCGAATGGGATTCATAGTAACCTTAAGAACAACAGATCTGAACCCTGCCCTATCCTGTGCCATCTCATCATCTCTGACACACTTGAGCCAACTGATGGAGACACTGTGTCAATCCATCTTGTTTTGGGGGGGTTCTTCCTCTCTTTTGTTGACCCTCTAGTTTTCCAAGCATGATGTCTCTGCCCAAGGAATAACCTTGCTTAGTAACATGTCCAAAGTATGAGAGACAAAGCTTCATCATCTTTGCTTCCAAGGAGTACTCTGGCTGCTTTCTCTCCAGAGGTATGTGTTTGTTCTTTTGGCAGTCCATGGAATATTCCGCATTCTTCTCCAGAACCACAATTCAAAGGCATCAATTTATCACCCTTATTCACTGTCCAGCTCTCAGGCCTAATATATCCCCAAGAGGGTGTTCTGGTGGCTTAATGGTAAGGAATTACACTGATAAACACAAAGACACATGGCTTGAATCCACCAGCTGCTCTGCAAGCTCTTCCCCCTGGAGTATCAACTACGAGTTGGTTCCAACTTGATGGTATGTAACAACATATACCCAAGAGACCTGAAAGCAGTAATAAAGGACACCGGTGTTCACTCTGGCACTATTTATAATAGCACATGGTGGGAACAACCAAAATATTCATCAGCCGATGAAACAGATGATGGATATACACAATGCGGTACATACAGTCAGTGAAATACTACTCAGCCAAAAAGAAAAAGGAAGTCCTAATACAAGCTACAACAGGAAAAAACAGTGAGAACATCAAGTGAAATGGGCAAATCTTTTTTATCTCACATGTATGAAAGCATAACAGGTGAATGAAAAGGAATTCTACTATATGGATCATAATAAATTATGGGTAACCTTGAGAAGAGTGGAAATCTCAGATCATTTCATTGTGCTATGTGAAACTTATATATAAAAGACTAAGAAATAGTTGTTTGAATAGAACAAGGAAATACTTTCCTGTTTAAAGATCAGGAAAGGTGTGCATCAAAGGTGCTTCACTATACGTTTTTGTTTTTTTTTTTCACTATACGTTTTTAATCCAAGTTAGAATACAACCTAGACAATCCTGTGGAGTATTTCTACTGTAACCTAGAAATGTGTTCTGAGTTAGAATCTACTCTTGGCACACATCACCTACATAAAGTCAATGAAGAATAGGAAACAAGAGGAACCATAGCCACCTACACAGTGTCAAAATACACATATTCTACTAGTAAATAAATTGTTCCCCCTCCTATTGGCTACTAGTCAAGGTACAGATACATAAGCTGTTTGAACCTATTACTTAAAAAGGAATCAGCACATTTCTTTAGGCCTAGGGATTGTTTGCTGTATACTATAGAGTTGGAACCAACCCACAGCTGACCTCTGGCAGGTTTTCAGAGGCAGTTAATCGCACGGGACAAAATTGTCCATCCCTGCTCATGTGGAGCAGCTGCTGGCCTCGAACCACATCTTTGAGATTACAGTACAGCATCACAAGATAAACTGTTGTGTGGTTGTTATGTGCCGTCACACCGCCTGCAACTCATAGCAACCCTATGTACAACAGCCCTAATCCCTGCTCTATCCTGTGCCAATCTCATTGTCTCTGACACACCTACCCAATTACCCCCATCACTGAATCAATCCATCTCATCAAGGGTCTCCCTCTCTTGCTTTGTCCCTCCACCCTCCAAGGACTGGTCCCTCCTTTGCAACATGTCCAAAGTATGTCAGACAAAGCTTCAGAATCCTCCAAGGAGCAACCTGGTTTAACCTGGTTTAACCCTCTCTAGGACAAACCAAGCCAAAGGTCTTATAGCTCTGGTGTGTCCACTTGCCATATAGAGGTAACTTGTGGTCGTTGTGAAGCTGAACACTGTGACACTGACGTGTCAAATGCAATAAGGCTACCCATGGTGGACAGTGTTTGGTGGCACTCCCCATTTAAAACAAGCTTGGAAGCAGGAGTGGTATCCACTTCCGTAAATGTAAATAGCTTGCCTCGGGGAAACCCTACGAACCTGGAGAAAGGATGAAAGTCACGCAAGTGTCAAGGACTTTAGTTCATAGAGTTGTTATGAGTCACCTATGACTCGATGGCACTAAACAACAACAACAACAAGACGAACCTGTTTGTTTTCTTAACAGTCCATGGTATAATCAACACTCTTCTCCAACACCACAGCTGAAAGGCATCAATTCTCCTATCATCCCTAGTCATTGTCCAGCTCTCTGACGCATAGCAAGTGATTGCAAAGACCATGGCCTGTACCATGCATGCACACCTAAGTCTCCAGAGTGACATAATTGCTCTTCAGTACTTTGGAGAGGTCTCTAACAGCAGACTTTCCCATCATAATACGTCTTTTAATTTCTTGACTGCTGGTGCCAAGAATGCTGACTGTGGAGCCAAGCAAACCAAAGCAGTCAACAGTGTCAATCTCTTCACCATTCATCATGATGATGCCAATTGACCCAGTGGTGAGAATCTTTCTTTTCTTGATATTGAACCTCAATCCATATTGAAGGCTGTAGTCCTTGACCTTCTGCAGCAAGTGCTCCGGGTCCTCCTCAGTTTCAGCAAGCAGGGTTCTATGACCTACATAACACAGATTACTGATGAATCTTCTCGATGCCACTTTTCTCCTCATACAGCCCAACCTCTTAGATAATCTATTCTACATATAGACTGAAAAGGTATGGGAATAGGACACATCCCAGGCATATACCCTTTTCAATTTTGAACAGTGCAGTGTTTCCCTGCTCTGTTCTGACGAATGCCTCCTGGTCCAAGTATAGGTTTCGCATTAGAACGATCAAGTGTTCTGGGATTCCCATTCTTCTCAGAGTCAGCCACAGTTTGTTATGATCCACACAGTCAAACACTTTTGCATAGTCAATGAAACACAGATAGACATTCTCCTGGTATGCCCTGCTTTCAGCCAAGATCCATCTCACATCACCTACAATATCCCTAGTACCATGACCCCTTCTAAACCCAGCCTGTACTTCTGGCAGTTCTCTGCTGAGGTGCTGTTCCAGTTGTTTTTTGATAATCTTCAGCAGAATCTTGCTTGCATGTGAAATCAATGAGATTGTTGTATAGTTTCCACACTATGTTGGGTCACCTTTCTTTGGGATGGGAACAAATACAGATCTCTTCCAGTCAGTTGGCCAGGTAGTTGTCCTCCAGATTTCTTGACACACAAAAAGGATACCCTAAATTCAGAAAGTTCAGAATTTTCTTTTCTAGACATCCTTTACCATAAACCTCAAAACACAACTTTCCACTCAATCATGATAATCAGTATTATAGTTTTTATGCTTACCTCATCATTTGAAGAAACTAAAGAAAATTCATGAGATAGATCAAGCTTAATGCCTTCAAAATTTATTTCTGAAGGTCTTTCCACTGGATCAGCACTGAACACATAAGAAGGTCTAGGTGCACCATCTTGATTCAAATTAGATTCCATTCTGCAAGAACAAGAACGCCTTTTTAAAAAACATTACAAAGTCAGTAAATGAACCAACCCAAACCAGTATCTCCTCAAACATACCGAGAATTACAGTGAAAGAAAAGCTTAAACTGCATTCATATACAACACAATGATCCATGCAAAGAATAAAAAGAAAAATTCAGATTATTTACATATGAAGAATAAAATGATACTGACCCTAGCCTGCCAATGTTATACATAAGATCTAATACTTAATCTAAGCCAAAGAGTAAAATGTAAAGTACTAATAAAGGTAATCTATCATACAGTAAAAACCCTCAATGTCTGCCTGAAACCCTCTCAGAAAACAAAAAGCAAGGAAAACCAAAGAGAAAATATAAGCATCTGTAATTTTATTATCTTGTGAAAAGTGTTACTTGCAGACTTAGTAACATTTCAAATAATCAGAGGTTGAGCTCAGTTATGAAGGAAATGAATTTTGATTTAAACTATTTCAAATAATAAAACATAAGTGAAACACTCTGACCAAATACTGTAGTGCAGTAAGTGAAATAACATGTCTACAACAGTACCTGGCAGAACTGTTGTTGGTAAGTGCAGTCAAGTCCAACTCATAGTGACCCTATGAAGGACAGATCTGAACCCCGCCCTCTCTTCTCTTGCACCATCCTCATCATCTCTGACACATTGAGCCCATTGCAGCAGTCACTGTGTCAAACCATCTTGTTGAGGGTCTTCCCTTTCATTGGCCAGCAACCTTTCCAAGCAGGATGTCCCTTTACCTTGCCTCTCTTGGCAACATGACCAAAGTATGTGAAACATTCTTTACCTTTAAAGAACATTCTGGCAGGACTGTTTCAAAGATGTATCTGTTATTTTGGCAGTCCATGGGATATTCGGTGTTCTCCAGTATCACAGCTTTAAGGCATCAATTCTTCAGTAATCCTTATTCACAATCTAGCTCGCAGATGTCTAACAAGTGATTGAAAAGACTATTACCTGAATCAAGCACTCTTCTTTAGTCTTCAAACTAACATCGTTGCTCCTCAGCACTTTGGAGAAGTTCCTGACAAAAGATTTGCCCCATGCAATATGTCTCCTGATCTCCTCATTACTGGTAACAAGGGTCTTGATTTTGGATCCAAGTAAATCATTGATACTTTGAATATTTTCTCCATCTATCATAATGCTGCTCAACAGTCTAATGGGGAGGGTTTTTCTTTTCTTAATATTGAGATGCAATTTATGTTTAATCTTTGATCTTCTGCAAGTATTTCAAGTCCTCCTCATTTTCAGCAAGCAAAGTTGTATCATCTCATAACATATTTATGATTTTTCCTGCAATCGATTTCCATTCGTAAAGTCTAACCTCTCCAGTGATTTACCCAGCAGACTAATTGGACAGGCATGGAGAAGAAGACAATTCTGACATATACCTTTCTCTCTTTTTAAATTATTTTTTTTCTTAATTTTAATGAACATTTGCAGAGATTTTGGATTTCCATTCATTCATTGTTGCACGTCTCTCCCTGTCCACCCCTCCCTACCCCCGACTCTTCACTCCTCTCCTTGAAAAGGAAAAGAAAAACTCCTTCATTGGTATACATGCAGTATTCCTTGCTCTGTTTAGACAACAGCTTTTTAGTCTAGGTAGTAGTTTCATATGAGCATAATTGTTCTGGGAGTTCTTAATGTTAGCCATAGTTTGGTATCATCCAGACAGTCAAATGCTTTTGCTGGTCAATAATACACAAATAGATTTTTTTTTCTGGTAGTCTCTGCTTTCATCCTGGCCACCTTGAGCTTCTCTCTGTGTACTGACTGTATTAGCCAGTTTTGAATGATGTTCAGCAGTATTTTGCTTGCATATGATATTCATGAGGTCCATATATGTTCCCATTTCCACAAAAGAAGATCCCACTGAATGTGAAAACTATTGAGAAATATCATTAATATCACATGCAAGAAAAATACTGCTGAAGATCATTCAAAAACAGCTACAATAGTACATAGTTAGGGTACTGCCAGAAGTTCAAGCAGGATTTAGAAGAGGCCATGACATGAGGGATATCACTGTGGATGTTAGATGGATACTGGCAGAAAGTAAGGAATACCAGAGAAGGTCAATTTGTGCTTTATTGACTATGCAAAGGCATTTGACAGTGTGGATCACAACAAGTTGTGGCTGACACTGAGAAGAATGGGAATCCCTGAACACTTAATTGTGCTCATGCAGAACCTATACTTGAACCAGGAGATTGCTGTGCGACCAGAGCAACGAAACACTGCATGGTTTAAAATTGAGAAGGGAATGTGTCAGGGTTGTAGTCTCTCTCCATACTTATTCAGTCTGTATGCTGAGTAAATTATCTGAGAGGCTGGACTCTATGAAGAGTAGTGCGGCATCAGGATTGGAGGGAGACGCATCAATAACCTGCATTATGCGAATAACAGAATCCTGTTTGCTCAAAGTGAGGAGGACTTAAGTACTTGTTAGAAGATCAAGAAACACAGTGTTTGGTATGGACTGCATCTCAGTATCAAGAAAACCAAGCTTCTTACCACTGGACCAATAGGCAATGTCATGATGGAGGGAGAAGATATTGAAACTGTCAACAGTTTCACCCTGCTTGGATCCACAATTAACACCCTTGGTACCAGCAGTCAGGAAATAAGGAGACGCATTGCACTGGGAAAACCTGCAGTTAGGGACCTCTCCAAATTATTGAGGAGTAATGATGTCAGTTTGAGGACTAAGGAATGTCTGATTCAGGCCACTGTCTTTCCAATTACTTGCTAAGCATCTGAGAGCTGAACAATGAATAAGGATGACAGAAAAAAAGAACTGACGCCTTTGAGCTGTGGTGTTGGAGAAGAGCACTGAGTATTTATTCCATGGACGGCCAAGTTCCCTTGTCTTGGAGACAGAGCAGAGTGCTCTCTGGAAGAATGCCTCACATACGTTGGGCATGTTGTTAGGAGGGTCTATTCCTTGGAGAAGCACATGATGCTGGGAAGGGTGAAGGGTCGGTGAAGGAAAGGAAGACCCTCAACCAGGTAGACTGACACAGAGATTGCTGCAATGGGCTCTTGTGTGTCAGGAAGTGTGAGGAAGGTGCAGGATAGAACAGGGTTTAGATCTTTTGTTCACAGGGTTGCTATGAGTCATATTCGACTCAATGGCAACCACCACCAACAACTCTCAGGGATCTCGCCAAAATACTTAAAGGAATTGATGTCAGTCTTAAGACTAAAGTGTGTCTAATTCAGGCCGTGGTCTTTTCAATCACTAGCTACATAGCATCTGAGAGCTGCACAATGAATAAAGAAGACAGAAGAAGAACTGATGCCTTTGAGCTATGGTTCTCTTTTCCAACTGCCAAAAGAAAAAAAGTCTTAGACAAAGTGCAGCCAGACTGCTCCTTAGAGGCAAAGATGGTGAAGCTTTGTTTTTCAACTTTGGACATACTGCTAGGAAAGACTATTCCTTGGAAATGGATACCATGCTTGAAAAGGTCAGTGAAAGAAAGGAAGACTCCGATGACCTGGATTGACACAGTGAGTACAGCAACAGGCACAAGTCAGAAATTGTGAGGATGGTATAGATTGGACAAGGCTAAGCTCTGTTGTTTAAATGGTCTGTATGAGTCATACTTGGCTCAATGGCATCTAACAACAAGAGAAACTACACATTTACCATCAATAATGTGCAGCAGACTACAAAAGCATCCAACTAGTTACATAAGTTTATTATTTTGTTTTACTGTCATTAAAAGATTTTAAACATGTCATTTGTAGATGAAAATTAAGGGAGGGGAAGGTATAGCAGAATGAAAAAGAGTCACTGATTGAGAACATTACAAAACAGTTTGCAAAAATGTTAACATACTGGACTGACATTTATTTCATAACTCAAATTGCATTAAAATGTCCAGAAAACTTAACAATAGGGTTCTTTACTTTCAATTTTTTTAAAAAAGCTTTCTGATCAACCTCTTAAAACTACTGTATTTATAAAAAAAAAACAAACCTAACTCTTAAAAACTAATTTTAAAGAAGTTTGTACTTGCTCATACATTCCTTTTTCAACTAACAAACTGCTTCCTAACATTTCTAAAATTGTTGAGCTGGACTACCCTTTCTTATATTCATAGTCAAAGTCTAGTTAAGGTGGCACCGCAGCTAAGTACTATTATCCCAGATCCTCCAAACCACTCTAGACCCTCTGAGGTAGAAACATAGCTGGAAAAATTACAACTCTGCTAAATCTCTGGGGAGCTCTTGGAGGGTCGCCATGAGTAGGAATGACAGGGACAGCTTTCGGGTACATATGTTTGGTCTCTCCAGTTAAACTGGAAATTTGAGGGCAAAAGTCTTCATTATACTGTTCTGGTCTAAAAGAGCAGGAACAGCACTCTCCTAGTTAGTTATAAGCACATTTACAACTTGCATAGGTTGTTCAAAACTTTTAATTGACATTTTTAACTTTCTATTGGTGGACAGTGTTTGGTGGACCTCCCTGATTAAACAAGCTTGGAAGCAGGAGTGGCATCCACTTCCTAAATAGCTTGCCTCCAGAAACCCTATGGACTTGGAGAAATGAAAGTTATACAAGTTTCAGGTCTTTCTTTCATAGGGTCCTATGCATTGTCTTCAACTCGATGGCACTTAACAACAACATTGTGATCAGAGTGAAAGATTAGAGAGAAAATACACTTTCCACTGATAAATTCACACACACTATTTTGTAACAATGACTAAGATACAAGCATAATACTGTATAAACATTGTTACCACTTTCTCTCTGTGTTTTCCCTTTCCAGTTTTTTTTTCCCCTAGGCAAAGCCACCCTTTTGATCTTGCTGGATTGATTGTTCTAAGGAGGACATCCTCCCAGGTGTTAGCGATCACCTTGTTACTCTCATTCGTTTCTGCTGATTTGGAATCAACAGCTTTCAGAGGCTGTAAATTCCTGGATGGCTGTGGATTTGAACTACATGCCTTTGGAATGGCAG